GTACCATAACGTCTTCCAGTCGAGGGAGATCGCCCATGTAGTTGCTCGCGAACTTGAGGTTGTAAACATTGAAGCTCTTCATGTACGCGGAACTCTGCACCGGAGAGCTACTGTGATAGCAGTCTTGGCCGAGCCCTGTATTTCAACTGAAATTTGCCATTTAGAAAGTCATTGCGCTTTTAGCAGCTGTCGGAGAAATAACTTTTACCTAGAACAAGCATTAGTGCTGGATCGACTTACGATTCTGATTCTTATTTGGCGATCTTGAAAGTTACTCCTGCTCATAAGCAATTCTGCTGAGACTAAATATTAATGCCGAATCAAGTGCACAGCAAACTCTAAATCAGCAATTAAGCGCCTCCGTACATCTGTGGTACTACTGGTACAGTACAGTATTCCGTTTTCTAATTTTCACTTTATGAGATCATCATTATCCACGTAATGCTCTTTAAAATGCTCATGATACAGTATTAATTTTCCCCCCTACCGTCATCATCAGCCTAAAAGAAAAAATATAAATTTCAGGAGTACAGTATATTTAGTGACCATACATTTCCGTCAACGCCACGAAGTTCGTTCACAGTACTGTACTGTACAACCAGATTCCACAGAGAAGGACGAAATTCCACAACTCCGCGCGGGTGTCAATAAACCCACCTAGAATTCCCTTCCCCTTCCGCCCATGGCGCCAAAACGGTGCAGTGCAGGCACGGATTTGCTCCACTTTATGGACGCATTCGCCTGGCAAGGGACAGAGAATATGCGAGTGAATTGGGTGGAAAATGCAAGGGCAAAGGAAAATTGACGGACAATGGAGGAGGAGGAGGAGTAGTGTGGGAAAGGAGAGAGAGGGATGACTGCTCCTGGCGGACAGGGAAAAAAGGATATCAGCGGGACGGGGAAAATGGGAAATACGGGGAGGGACAGATCAGCGTGTGATAGAATCCAAGCAAACTAGTCGCAGCTCGTGTGTGTTCCCCCTCCTGGCCGTTTCTGAGACAAGTGACCCTGAGACGCGGGAGTTTGCGCCACGCAGCTCTGTGGTATCGACCCCCTCCCCTCCCCCCCTCTCCCCAGCAGCAGAGTGAAGGATCGTAACGTATACGGTGCCCTTAACTTACACCCTTCTTTTCCCCACGCTGGGCGGCATCTGGCGCTCCTGATACTCTTCCCTCTTGGGGAGTGAGTTCACGTTTTCTGCTAGAACTTCTTTCTTTCTATATTGCGGGATTCGAGATAAGAAAGTGCGTAGATTTCATCCTTCGTCTTTGCTGGACAATACTGCACACAATTTTCCAGGTGTCGGCATGCATCAAAAATTTTGGTGTACCATGATGAGACTTGATTATCAGGTATTCAGTTTTTTTTCCATGCATGGAGATCAACTTTTATAGCTTTATATAGATTAAAAAGCTTAAATAATATGATAATGCAGTCATTATGAAAATACATTAAAAATCTATGTGCTACGACAAACGACTCACAAAACATGTATGAAGTACAAGTACAGTACATTGACATTTTTTCATTACTGTATTAAAATTTTTGTAACGCGCTGCAAAGCCTTTGTTTGAATTGAAATGTTGATTGGCCGTAAAATTTATTTATACAACCATTTGTCTTGAAAATTGTGTAATTAAAAGGTTTGAAAAGTCATGGTTGAAATTCATAGTTTTTAAAATACAGTAGTTGAAATTTTTAATCCATGTTTATTGTCCAACACATTCACTGAAATTCGAAAAAAAATTCCCGGATAGTTTTCATATCATCCTTTTTTAGAGCTCCCTCCATATTAATCTGCTGCTACAGTAATGGCCTAATGGGAAACCTGAATACTATTATTCTTCAACTTTCCAATTAATAGGGCGGAATTAGAAGTAAAAAATGAAGTTCTTGGATTTAGGTAGTGTGATTAGATCCTGAAAATTTATGAAATACAGTAGTGTATATGCAGCAATTTTGAATTGCCAAATATAATTACAGTACTATGTATTATATAGCACCTCTTATACAAGGAAGGTCTGATAAAAAGGGAATGCGCTATAGGACTATACAGTACTGTACTGTAGTCCCGAAGTTACGGTTTACAGACTGGGGAGATTATCCCGTGATTTTCCCCCATAAGAACTTTTTATCTCTTCAAACACGCGATCCGCATACTTTTTCAGATCACATAGGCTTTTTAATGTTGTGTCATTTGACTTGCTAGAACTACCCAATCCGCAATGCACTGAGTTAAAATCCAGCTTCATAAAATCCAGTTTTCCAGTCATAGAAATCTGCTGGAATAAGAGAAGGAACTGTTGAACTGCTATATGAGTGACTTTTCTTTAGCAAATTTCAATGCTCAAATCACTGCTGAATATGTTGTTTCATAACAAAATTCTTGTTATGAAAAGTATACAAAACATTTTCAAAGAAAAAATATGGTATAGTTTGAAGTGTCGCATAGAAGAGTTGTATGACATTGAAAATTCTCTTTGCATATAACTTTATACCTTTTCCAATTGCCCATTTTTTCATGATATCAGCACAGTATATGTAAATTAAATAACGTGTTTCATCAGAGAGTTTCTATCATCTCAGAAGATATTCATCCTTTAGAAGCAGCCTTTCAATATGACATAAACCCCAATCCATATACACCCTTGAGATGATCTAAACTAGCCTTTATTTACCCAATTTATTTTTTTCATTTCTCCCCAATTTATTTTGCAAGTGTGGACTGTATTTGTTTGGGTCATTATTATTAGATTCTGTTAGGAATTTTTAGGGTCATCATCATGTAAAACTTGAATATGTAAGAACTTTAATTGCAACTGAGAAAAAGAGAACACAGCCCTGCAGAGCCCTGGATTGGCTGGAAATCTCTTCAACAGAATTCCAAAAAATTGGGATTTTTTTAATGAAAGCTCAAATATGTTGAACTTGGTGTTTTCACAAAAACTTAATTTGCATTTCAACAGCACAATTATGAATTGAATAGATCACATGCAAAAAGTAGATTGATGTACTTTTTTCGGTGTATATATGGATGCATTTTAGTAAAACCTTTGACAGATTTCCACCTTATATTGAACAGATCTGATTTTGCTTATAATAATCCATCAGAACCTAGTGCAGTATCCCCATAATATAATGATACACTGAGTCATCTGACGCCAATTTGTGAAATCACTCAATACACCCTGAGCAAAGGGGCAATAGCTGCTGGTTGCGCGGGTTTTTGTACCTGCTCGCCTGCACTCCAGAGCATTCAGAACTCTTCCTCACACCGCAGAGCTGCCATGGAAGGTCCCTGGTTATCTTCTTGGAAGGGGAGAAAGAAGCAGGATCAGTCCTCTCCTCCTTTCCTGAATGCTCTACAAGTTACAATTTCTCATCATGATTTGTGATGAAATTCGATTTGGATCAATTGTAATTTTTGTGCATGGTAGTGCTGAATTTTCTCCGCGTGCTTATTGATTGTCATAAAATTTGCTTCGATTCTTTGCAAAAACACCAAAGCAGGGGAAATCTAACGGAATGAAGAATTTGAATAATATTTCAAATTTGTGATGCTTCTCTCCGGTAATCCGAAGCCTTGAAATCTTGTTTGCTCGATCGGCGCTATGACGCAATTTCTGCGTGTAAAGCCGCAAGTAATTGTATACTGTCGAAAACTATAATTTATTCCTCTTGTGAAATTGAGTTAAGCATGAAACTCACACCGGAAGTCAAGAAACGTTTTCCACGCAGTCTCGAAAGATTTGACAACCGCAGAAATACTCGGAAAAAGGAATCCACTCATCAGTGCGAAGAGATCGTGCGATATCCTTCTCGTGAATATTTCATTTGAGTGCAAACTGATCGCGGCGGTGTCTCAAGGGAGTTTCACATGAATGATGGTAGGAGAAGAAAGATTTCTGCGCGAAAGACGGGAAGAAGTGCAAAAAATATCATATCCTGCTTATTCTTGTCAACGTAATATGACCTGTTCTGCTTTCGAACGTTTTTATTCTCAGCGTGTCCTTTCTTCGCGCGGGTGACGTCGGAGCCTTTCTTCCCATGTTCCTTCATAATAGCCGGGAAAACCCAAAGGTTGACGTTCATGGGGAGGGTTATTGCCTCGTAAAAATTTGTATAGAGTGATCATCTTTTTTTTGTGTGTGCTTTAAAGTGGCTTCAGTGAAACGTGTTCTGTTTTTCGCTTATCCTCGTGAGAAAGCTTTTATTCCATTTCATAGAGTGATTATCTCTGTTACAATGGTACTATAAAAACAGTAGATCAAGAATTGTGTCAGGAGAAGAGCGCACGGACAACAAAAAGCGAGAAGGAAGGAAACACCCAGAAAAAATGGTTGAATTGTGTCAAAATGTCGCATCTTTTGATACTTTTGTTCTATATACATTCCCTTATTGTTTTTCATGTGAGGTTCCACAGAAACTGATTTTTCCGAGTTCAGTTCCTATTTTTCATAGTTACGGTACTTGTTCTTAATTTGTGGTTCTGGAATGGATTGTCAGCTAGAAACCATGTTGAATCGTGGAATTGTGAGTGATCATTATTTGACTAATTTCCGAGCAATCAATTTTTGCGCCCGAAGAAATCAGGAATATATATATGAATATGAGTAAATGAAAAAGTCTGGACATAGTGTGCTTTTATCCTATCCCTATTCTGTATTATTTTTTCGAGGGATTTTACTGAGACGCGCTTTTCTCCAGTCACGAATTGTTGACGTTTGTTTCTTCGAAATTACGCGACGAATTTTGTGAAATCAGTCATATAACTTCATAATTCATTAGCAATGAATGAATTATGGCTACTGGAGTACAGCTAGTATGTCAAAATGTGTGGCTTAGTCATACCAAATTTTGGTTTATGTTCGGGGTTACGGTACAGTATAGTTGTTCTCGAGCTGTGCGCCGTGATCTGACATGCGGACAATTCAAGATGAGGACGAAAACCAATTATGTCCACATCTCGGAACTCCGCTGAAATTTCTCCATACAAATTTTTATGTTTCTATGCAACAGGCATCCAGCAACTTCTTTCGTCGGTTTTCATCCGTTGCAACTTTCCAACCCTTAATATAACTAATCCCGAACAAAGAAAAAAGTTTTTTTCGGCTCACACGCGGTCTTCGGTTTTTTTCTACCCCGCTCTAAAATCTTACCTGTGTTGAGTAAAAATTATACAAAATGGCGGGCGTCGTGACGCAAATCGGCCAGAGGTTGGCCAACAACACCTCCGCCGCTTCTTTGCTCGTGCACGGGGCCAAGACCGCCGTGGCGGCGACTTCATCCCATCAGACGCCGGCGAGAAGCGTTTACAGCGCCACTGCGAAACGGGAACCCGGCGCCCCAGGCGGAAAAACCCCTGTGTGGAAATCAGCACAGGATGCCGTGAAGGTCATCAAATCTGGTGAGCTTTTCTATTTTGTTTTAAAAATTATTTTTCGTTTTATTTTCTGGGTGAACTTGGTCATGTTTTAGTTTTCGATGCTGGTTTCTATCCGGTTCAAAGATTCATTGGGGATTATAATCTTAGATGCAATATGTAACAATTTTATTTCAACACCAACCCAGCAAATAATTTGGGAATTGTGTACAGTGTACCAGGCAGTGGCCGATATCAAGGTGTGCAGGTAGCTATTATCAAGTTAGGAGACAAATAACTCCCTGGGTAAAATCCAACTTTCAAACACTATGAATTAGGACTAAGTAAATACTGTACAGTTGAACCTCTCTAAGTTGAATTTTTAGGGACCAGGAAAAAATTTGACGTAGGGAGGTTTTTATTTTTGGAGGTTTTGAGTTGGGGAAACAATCATTTTTGCTGCAAGGATGAGTGAAAAAAAAATAGCAGGGATTTTTAAATGAGGATATTCTGGGCCTAAACTTGCTTCTCAATGAGTTTACAGCTTGCTGAACTTGGATGCAGGGGTTCATTTGCATGATTAGTCTTTGATTTTCTATCAAGATGCATGAAATCATTTGTTTAATTGATTTTATTTTTCCTATTTCAAGGGAATAGTAACCAAAGGCCCCAGAAAATTCAACTTACAGAGGTTTTTGAGAAAAAGACTTTGAGTTAGAGAGGCTTTTAATGCATTGTTTCTAAGGGAATACAGATGGGACTTGAAAGAAATTGAGTTAGGGAGGTACAGTATTTGGCTTAAAGAGGTTCAACTGTAGTGGATAGCTAATATTCAGTTAATCTGAACTCCTGAAACCAGATAGATGTGCCCAACTATATACAGTAGTAACTACAGTATTGCAGCTAGCTGCTGTTAGCAGGGTGCTTGGGAGCTAGCTTGGGAGCTGAAGCAGCCAACTGAATAACAGCTAGCAAGAAGGGACCTCCAGTTAGCTGGAAATAATTCCCAGTTGAAAATAATTCCCAGACTAATTACATGCTACTTGCTACCCTGAGACCAAAATGCTCCAGGGATATGCTGAAAGATATTAAAAATGTAATGATAATTTTGTAAGAAACAGTTTCATCAATAAAACATTCACTTGCCTGACAAGTTTCTTCCACACAGAAAAAAGTTTCCATAGAAAAAAATCATAAATCATGGAGTACTGAATCCAGAAAAATAAAAATAAATGTTCACAGCTGGAACTGATTGTTTGCTAACCATTTTTCTTGACTTTCAAAAAAAATAAATTAGCTGAGTCAGTTGGGCTTCAATTGAAAATTTGTGTTGGTCATGATATCAGGAATAAATTATGTTTTCTTTTAAAGTTGATCTTGGTATTTATTGATCAACTGTATCAACTGTGAAAATAAAAATAAAACACACCATCTGCCTCTATGTGATCTAAATTCGAAGTGAGGATCGCATTTTCAATCATAACCCAGCTCGAGGAATGGTCAGGACGAAGGGAGTTGGGAATGTGACCTGACCTAGTTGCTGAGTGAAAAAATTCTTGGCATACGTTTTTCCTCCGACATTAGCAGCTCTTGGCACTGTGGGAAAAGTCTCTTAATGTTTCCACAAATATTTCTTATAATTTTCCCCCAGTGATGTATGATGATCATCGTCAATGCAATAATGTCAATGCTGTTAAGTGTCAATCAGCTGCCTCCAAGTTGTCTCTGTACGGATTCTTCTTCATCTTCTTGAAATATATTCAACATTTTTTTGCCTGTTTAAATCATTTGGAAATTTTTTTTTTCGTTGATCAAAGCAAAACTTCTGCATGACTTGGTTAGAAAACATTTGGTCCAACATTCATGACATACTGAATCCAAAAAAATAAAAATAAATAAATGTGTACAGCTGGAACTGATTGTTTGCTAACCATTTTTCTTGACTTAAAAAAAAAAAAAATTACCTGAGTCAGTTGGGCTTCAATTGAAAAATTGTGTTGGTCATGATATCAGGAATAAATTAGGGTATCTTTTAAAGTTGATCTTGGTATGTATTGATCAACTGTACTAACTGCGAAAATAAAATAAAAACACACCATCCGCCTCTATGTGAGATAGGCGCTGTAATTTTTAGAAATACAGCTGAACCTCTGTAAGTCAAATTTCTAGGGACCAGGAAAAAAATTTGACTTAGGGAGGTTTCATCTTAAAAAGGTTTTAATTTTTGGAACTTTCCAGTTGAGGAAACAAAACTTTTGTTATTGATCAACTGTATTAACTGCAAAAATAAAATAAAAACACACCATCTGCTTCTATGTAAGATTGGCGCTGCACTTTCAAGAAATACAGCTGAACCTCTGTAAGTCAAATTTCTATGGACCAGGACAAAAATTTGACTCAGAGAGGTTTTGACTCAAAAATGTTTTAATTTTTGGAACTTTCCAGTTGAGGAAACAACACTTTTGTTGTGGGGAGAAGTGAAAAAAGTGTGGAAAATTATAAATGAGGATATTCTGGGCCTAATTTTGCTCCTCAATGAGTTTACACCTTGCTGAACTTGGAGGCAGGGGTTCATTTGCTATATTTGTTTTTAACTTCCTTTCAAGATGCATCAAATTATTTGTTTTAATCATTTTCTCTTTCACATTTAAAGGAAATAATAACCAGAAGGCCTCAGAAAATTTGACTTACAGAGGTTTTAGAGAAAAAGACTTTGAGTTAGGGAGGTTTTTAAAGTATTGATTCTAAGGGAATTTAGACAGGGACTTGAAAAAAATTTGACTTAGGGAGGAATTTGACTTAGGGAGGTTTAACTAATTGAGGTTCACATGCATATACAGTACACATTTTTTTTTACAAATGTCAGTACTGTATTTACGTGTGAATTCTTTTGTTAAATTGTATCCCCTTCAAAATTGTCTTGAAAATGTGGAGATCTTCAATAAAGATACCAGTAATGCAATGACTTTTTTTTTGCGGTCAACTATGAACAGTTCGGTTTATTACATGAATTATTCAAAATATTCTGAAGGTTTTGAAGTCTTGATTTTTTCTATTCTTCGAAATGAATCTCAGGTCATGCATAGCTACAAGTTTTTTCGAGTACGGTTTTCGAACTCGAATAAATTTCTGACGATGTGGAAAATTTCACGAGTCACGTGTCAGAAGGCGAAGAATTCAGCTCATATCACGACGTCGAAAAATGACGATGATTCGATCAAAATTGAATAGCTTCGACTTTCATGCGAAACATTGTTACAACAATTTTAAAGTCGATGAAGCTTGAAGCGAAATTCTCAGATCTTTGAAAAGATTTTCTTGACCTCCGAGCGGAACAAAGATTCAAGACCAGCAGAATTCTGTTCTCTGGATAGGAAATTTAAAAAAATACGGTACTGTACCTTCAAATGAAACGAAATAAATCACTGAAATCGGGACAAAGTTGCGTACGATTAAAAAATAAATAGCGCGATGACAAAACAAAATATTACGGATTCAGCTCGAGAAAATCACCATCCAATATTTTATTCAGCCTGATCCGGAAGTTGGAAGCTTGCTTCATCGCTAATATTTTCTACGCTTTTTTTTCTCCTTTTCCTTTCTTTCTATCCGTCTCATGCTGTGTTCCGGTACGTGAAGGCGACTCTGTGTTTGTACACGGGGCCGCCATGACACCGCTGACGCTTTTGGAAGCCATGACAGAGCACGGGAAGTCGGCAGGACTGAAGGACGTGGCCGTGTGCCATATCCACACTGAGGGACCCGGACTTTACACCAAGCCCGACTGTGAAGGTAAGAACAGACTAACGTACCTTCTCGCCAAAATTGATGTACAGTGCAGTACATTACAATACCATGCGGCCTATATACAAGCTTATAGGCCGCATCAAGATTTTGAATAGCCGTGTCAGGGCTGGAAAACTAAAAATACACATGAACTCTTTTTCTGCAACGAAATTCAAGGGACCAGGCAAAATTCCTTATAGAGAGAATTTCGTTGTAAAAACCCCAATAAAACGGGTAGAGAATCCTTTGAGGCGCAAAAAAAAATCATAATACAGAAACAATCGTTGTAGAAAAGATTAGGGACCCGGACTTTGCTCCAAGTCCAACTGTGAAGGTAAGAACAGACTAACGTACCTTCGCGCCAAACTGTATGTACGGTACAGTACCGTACTTACAGTACCGTGCGGCCTATACAACCGCATAGGCCGCCCCAAGATTTTGAACAGCATTGTCAGGGCTAGACAAGTAAACATAAAGATGAACGCTTTTTCTGCTGCGAAATTGAAGGGACCTGGAAAAATTCGTTGTAGAGAGAATTTCGTTGTAAAAAAAAACCTGATACAGTGAGACCCCCAGATGCGGACATAATTGGTGCATCAAGAGTGTCCCTATGTCAAAATGTCCCCAAGTTGAGCCTTGCTTTCCCATAGACTTAGATTATACAGTATAATATTTAATTGGTATTTTATGGAAGAAATATTCTTCAGAATTCCATGAAAAAAATGATTGCCGCTTGAATTTGATTCAGTCAATATCTTTTCAACTCAAGTGAGCATTGAATATTGTACCTCTGAACAGTACATTGAAGTTTTGGCATCTGTAAAAATAACATTAAAGTCACAAAGAGAGAAAGAAGTCCTTTGATGCTATGGATGGGAAAAATTAAAATTTAAAATTTAAATTAGCTGAATGAATGGGAAAATGATGGAAGAAATTCCAAAGATTTTTTTGCATAGATATTAGGGTTGGAAATATCTGTTTCTTGCAATTAAGCCTAATGAAAGTCAATTTTCCTGAAATTTATTGGCAATTTTATAGTGCAATGTCCTCATGTCAAGTCAGTGTCCATATGTTGGGCCCTTTTCATGCCTCTTTTTTATTGAAAAGTAAGTGTCCCTATCTTGAATTGTCCACATGTGAAGGTGTCCGCATGTGGGGGTCTCACTGTATACCATATTTACTTGAGTACCACACGCTCTTGAGTAAGGCGCGCCCAGGGGTTTTTCAGTTGAAAATTTTGCAAAAATCTTATCCCCAAGTAAGACGCTCACGCCAATTTTTAGTGAATCTAAAACCATACAATTTCAAAAATAAAAACAAAAAATTCAGTACAGTAACCACAGACTTCGTACATTACGCGCGAGTCGACGTTTTACACATCAGAGCAGCGTTGACTCATAGCAAAGAGAGTCAACTTCGTAAAAGGAAATTTTTGATCTAATCTGTTTGCTAAACCTGGTCGCCTGTATATATTACCTATAACAAAAGTTTCACCTAGTAAATGAGAAAACATGACCCAAAGAATGTTTGAGTGAATTAAAATTCTTTGTGAGGTACACCCATCAATTTCTTCAACATATGTTGCAACACCACCAGAACTGCTTTTATAGAAAAATAAATGTCCCTATCTTGAATAGTCCACATGTCAAGGTGTCCGCATGTGGGGGTCTCACTGTATAATATGGTTAGAGATCCCTTTGAGGCACACAAAAATTGTTATACAGAGAAAATCTCTGTAGAGATAGTAGAGGAAATTTTTGGTTATAACGCAATTTTTTGTCAGCTCCCTGGGAATTAGTTGTAACGGTATTTTACTGTAATTGTATCCTGTGCAAAAGCCACGCCAGAATCTCGGTGTTTTTTTTTGGAAAACGAATGTGGCCGAGGATGGAGTAAAAAATGTATGTGCTGGAGTGACTTACCCCCAATTCACTATAGTACGGTAAGTGGGTCTCAAAACACACCATGACGACAGAGAGGGATGAGAGATTAAAAAAAAAAACGTGTCAATGATCATATCATGATTCAGTCCTGACACTGACACACAATACAGTACTTGAAACCCTTCTTCATCTCAGGAGATGACAAGCATTATCTTCCGCGTGTCTCTATTTGAGTTTAAGATCAATTTCCTGGGGCTATTACTTGAAGCATGCTTGTATAATTACAAGAGCTCGTGAGTACTTTCAAATTATGTTGCATAACGTGTAAATCACTATGAGTAATTTACATGCTGGCGATTTCCAAAAAAGGCCCAAGTTATTTGGTTTGGGATTTCGTTAGCTGTTATTGAATAATGGGAGAAGATTTTACGTGTGCAGTACAGTACTGTACATAATTAATCAAAATTCATTCGCGGAAAAATAATTTTCTACAGAAGTCGCATATTTTTTGATTACAGTCGAATATCTTTGAGGGACCAAACTTAAGGAGGTTTCGAGTCAGGAAAACATGCACTTTTGTTTGGGGAAAGAAAAAAAAAAGAATTGCAGGATTTTGTAATTAACAATTACAGTATAGGATTTTGTAATTTGGACCCTAAATTGCATATTAAAGGAATTGAAAGGATTCTGAACTTGGATGGATGGGTTCATTTGCCCAATTAGCCTTTCATTCCTTTTCAAAACTCAGCAAGATGCTTCTTTTATTGATTTTCTCTTTCCTGTGTCAAAAATTAATGGTCATAAAGCCTCCAGAAATTTTGAGTGGTGGAGATTTGAGAAGGAAGTGCCTGGGAGATTTTTATTACAGTCAAACCTCTCCAAGTTGAAATTCAAGGGACTGTAAAAAATTCAACATAGGGAGGTTTTGATTAAGGGAGGTTTTGAATTAATGAAACAAGCATTTTTGCTGTGGAGAAACATAGAAGAATTACAGAAAATGGTAATTGGTTATATTATAGGCCTGGAATTATTTCTTGAATGAGTTTACAAGATGCTGAACTTGGAGGCAAGGGTTCATTTGTCCAATTAGCCTTTCATTCCCTTTCAAAACACAGCAAGATATATATTTTTTATTGAATTTCTCTTTCCTGTCTAAAAAAAATAATGGTCATAAAGCCTCCAGAAAATTTGAGTTGTGGAGATTTGAGTTGTGGTATGAGGAGGAAGAGCCTTTGAGTTGGGGAGTATTTTATTGATATCAAACCTCTCTAAGTTGAAATTCAAGGGACAGTAAAACAAAATTCAACTTTGGGTGGTTTTGAGTTGGGAAAGTTTTAAATTAAGGAAACACGCATTTTTGTTGTGGGGAAACATAGAAGAATTACAGAAAATTGTAAATGGTTATATTATGGGCCTTGAATTATTTCTTGATTGAGTTTACAGGATGCTGAACTTGGAGGCAAGGGCTGATTAATTGCCAATTATTGGGCTTTTTCATGTAAGGATTATTAATTCTGCGAATTTTGGGATAGATCATGTATTTTTATTTTATTTTTTTATTGGGAATAAGTTCTAGAATGGGCATGATTTTATCGATTTTCCCACAAACCATAGATTCCATGTCTCAGACTGGCGAATAAATGAAAAAATACCTTACAGAATTTGTTTTTCACAGAAATTGAAATTTTCGCAGGTGTCAACATTTTTTTCTGGAAAGAAATGCTTCCTTAGAAAATGAATATCATTGTCACGCTTAATTCCATTATTCAATTTTTTTAGATTCTCGGCGTAGTTTGTAATTCAGAGCTGCGTGACGAATCGTGATCTGGTTTGATGTAAATAACTACGCGTCAAGTCGACGACGTCGTGACGCTGGCTCAAAAACTGTTGGGAGAGTTTCCTCTTTGTCATTGTTTGACTCCTGCCTGTGTACAGTTTTCAGACCAGCCTTCTTTTGTCTGAAACATTGTTTCATGTCAGCAGACTTGCAAAGAGAGCGATATATAAATATATAAATATATATAGAGTTGTGAATCTTGGAGAATTTAATTCAATTTTAAAAATTTGAACATTAAAAATTGAATTTGAACATTGAATTTTAAAAATTACAAAAATGTCTAAACATAACATCTTGTACAGTGAAAAGATATACAGAATTCAAGTATTATCATAGAATATTTCTAAAAAGCGTACTTCAAATGTTCAAATTTTTAAAATTGAATGTATATATATATATATATATATATATATATATATATATATNATACATACATATTTATATATATATATATATATATATATATATATATATATATATATACATATCTTGGGGAATTTAATTTAATTTTAAAAATTTGAACATTTGAAGTATGCTTTTTAGAAATATTCTATAATAATACTTGAATGCTGTAGATTTTTTCACTGTGCAAGGTGTTATTTTCATAAATTTTTGTAATTTTTTCTTGACCATAAGAGAATATTTTGTGCCATTTACCTCTGGCAATATTTGGAAAAAATGATAAAAGGATGTTCTGATGTTTTTTATGTGTACAGATGGTGCAGTACCTTTTTGCAATTTGACTGATCTGCAATTTGACAGTCAAATTTGCTGGGAGGTTGACTTGAAAATTTGACCTAGGCCCAGCAATTTGACCAATACAGAGATGGGCAAAAACATCAAATACCATGTAGAAAACATTGCATTCAATGTTGCTTTGCAATTTGACTGCTTTGCATTTGATCCTGGTCCAGCAATTGTTTAGGGTGAAATTTCAGGGCACCACCTGTATCATAGTGTATTACTATGGATCAGGAGAGGAATGAAAGCAAGAAAATTCTTCTGCCTCAAATATCCTTGTCTCAGAATTCTCTCCATCTCCAAATTTACCAGTCTAAAATTATCCTTGTATCCAAAAGTTTCTGTCTCAAATTGGAACTGGCTCAAATTGTTTGTCCAAGATCCTTGGGTGACTTATTCCTATCTTTTGATAAACAGGAGAACCAATTAAATAAGTCTGCATTGGAATCTATTGGAAAACGGATGATCCAACTTAGGGACATGGTTCAAGCACCAATTACACCTGTCCGCATGTCGGGGGATCCCACTGTATTTTTAAACTTTTATCATCTTCACATTCGCGTAAAGCATACCGTAGTGAGAAAATAGATGGAAGTGCTGCTTCGGAAGCATTCACGCCTATTTTTAGCCATAAAAGACAGGAAGATCCCAAAGGATTTCTCTTCTGTTTGACGTCATCATAAGCTGAGCTGGACTGAGGCCAAAGAGAAGTCGGTGCCAATGTTTGCCTTCACAGCACCCAATATCGAAAGAAGGAGAAAAAATAAGAGAAAAGGCATTATTCTGTGAAGCAGACTCTTTCATTCATTCTCAGATGAATGGGTTCTAAATGGGAGTACAGTATTTCTTATTTTCACAACACACATTCTTCAAAAAAAGAAAGAAAGAAGAGGAGTAACCATTTTAACCTGTTCTTGCTATGCAGTACTGGCAGACATTTAAATTGAGAAATGTTTATCATCTTGTTAGAATGCTTGCTGCTATTTTCAACAAATATTTGTGGCCTAACTGTGTACAGTGCAGCATTGTCTTGCTAAAATCTATTTTGAGCGGTATTTTTAAACTAGGCCCTTCTGCTGTACAAGGGTTCTAACAAAAGTTCTTGGAGTAGCAATGAAAATGGCCTACAGTTGAGCTGAAAAAATTTTTTTCTTTAGAGAAAACATATTCTTTGGCACACAAAAAAATATCAGCCCTGTTTGACGAATTTTTTTGAATTTTTTTCATAATTCACCCTGGCAGAGTTTTGCTCTCCACTCAAAAGATGAGCCGCCCTTTTTTGTTGTAGCCGCCACATGGGCTGCCACTTTGGCGGCTGTGAAGGCAGCTGTTCATGAAAATGGTGGAATTGCCTTGGATGACTTGGAGGCAACCCTTAGAAAGAATGTCAAGTTGATTTCAAAAATTCAGAGGGGAAAGCTGGGCTACAACAAAAAAGGGCGGCTCATCTTTTGAGTGGAGAGCAAAACTCTGCCAGGGTGAATTATGAAAAAAATGCAAAAAAATTTGTCAAACAGGGCTGATATTTTTTTGTGTGCCAAAGAATATGTTTTCCCTAAAGAATAAAAATTTTCAGCTCAACTCTCGGCCATTTTCATTGCTACTCCAAGAACTTTTGTTAGAACCCTTGTATATTGGGGACAGGTGTTGCCTCAATATAAGTTAGTGTTCAAGCTGGATTGGAACAGTGAAGACATGTAAATAAACAACAGTAATGAGCCCAGGACAGGGGCTGGAATTCCTTCTTGGAATGTCTCTTTTTAAAGGATGAGGTGTATTTCACACAGGTTAATAACTACTCAGCAAACTTTTGCTTCAACTGCTAGATTGAACTGGACTAAATTCTCCATTTACCTCTCTTCTCTCATTCGATTAGCTCAATGTATAATAATTACCCTTCATTAGGTTTTACCTTTAATTTTTAAGGGAGAGGATGAAACTCTAGCTAATTCTGAGAAATTAGGTAATGATGGTGCACTTGCCTAACATAATCCCTCCCTGTTCCATCAAGTAGTGCTTTAAGGAGTAGCGCTCTTTGATGGAACACATGGCTCTTCATTGGTGCACTTGCCTAACATGCTGCACATTTCCTGGATGTTATGAAACATAATCTATTGCAAAATGTAGTTCAGTCTATTTAAAAAAAATTTGGAGTGCCCATTTCTGAAAGGAAAGCTTTATTGGTACTGTATATACATCTTGAACAATATTAAACATTTTTTCATGATTTTAATGGTTTCTGAAAGTTGTTGTGGTGGATTGTTGCTCTCTTGAGGTCCAAACCAAGCTCAATGAGACATTTCACTTCAGTTGATACAGCATTTACAAGAACTACTTTATGTACCTTTGACACTTTGTGAAGAAACTAGTATTTTTCTTTAAACCAAGCAAGTGAAATTGATGTCACACATATTGTAAGAAAGAGGGCAAATGCATCAACATTTTGTGAAAAAAATTTAAAATGGTCTTTGCCAAACAAAGAACTTGTTCAAACAAACTTTTGCATTGCCAAATTTTTCATTGGGGGAAAAGGTGACTTGCTTAACTGGATTTTTCACCTGAAACACAATTGGTTCAAAAATCCTTCTTCAGCAAGTTATTTTGAGGTTAAACTCCAGAACTTTTAAAAATCAAGGGGAACGGTTCAGAAGAGAAAATAATTTCGAAAGTCATTTTCAAGATTTAAAAACTGCATGAGCCAAAGAAAAAGGTACAATATTGGAAATATTAAAGAGAAGAGAAAAAAAATTATGCATGAGTAAAAACAAATTTTTCAATTGGCCTGTGAAGTTTTCCCTCAGCAGGTTCTCACCCGATAAGACCCTATAAAATAATAAGCTATCACCCGATAAGATCTTCTTTTTCAGTTTCAGTCAGCAAGTTGCCAATTGAATTATGCCTGAACATTTTGATGATATGAATTTTTGCGAAATTTTCAAATTTTTCAATTTAAGGTGACTGATACATGATTTTGATTATTAAATAGGCCGCATTCTTCAAGTCAGTGTGGCCTAGGCTCAAATATTTCCTCCGTAGGCCACACTATAGGGAACCTTCTCGAAAACATTGCTTATATTGAAAATATGTTTTCAATTTTGATTTAATTGAAACGATTTATTTCTCACGTTTTTTGTCTTGAAAAATTTTGCGAATCGATGAAAACAAGTGTTTCATTTTTGTCCTTATTTCCAGGCATCTTCAGGAGCAACTCGTTCTTCATCGGTGCCAATTGCAGAGAGGCCATTGGCTCTGGACGCGGAGACTTCGTGCCAATATTTTTGCACGAAATCCCGCTCCTGTTCCGGCGGCAGCTGATCCACCTCGACGTTGCCTTGATCCAGGTTTGCATTGTAGCAATAATCGTACCAAATCAATTCGAGCCAGTCGAGAAAAATGAAATACAGTACAGTACTAACTGTACTCCTGAAGATAACCCAATATTGTGCTCACGAAAAAAATATGCGGAATTCGTGAGGAAGATGACGCGCTAATTATTATTTTTATAAGGAACCACTTATCCAAGGAAGATTATTCTGAAGTGTAGGAACCACTTGATCTATTTTTAAAATAGAAAACCCCACATTTACGGCCCATCTAAATACAGTTCACAAATTGTCTTTGAGATATATTTTTATTTCACATCATCATTTTTTTATCGTATTATTCTGAAGTGTAGAAAAGGTCATCTGTTCACAAATCTTTCGATCATAAATACTGTATTGTTCGTGATGGAAAACAAACGTCTCTTCGACAAATACGCGTTTTTTCTGATATCGGTGTAGCCTCTAGCCCCACAAATAAACCGTGTTACGTTGCTGCTTATAAATGGTCAAATAGGTGTCGCTACAATCGCAAACGGTCGAGTGCTGTTCAACGGTACAGCAGTACTTGTTGCTCCTCTCTTGAGCCTGAACCTCTGTCTAAATTTACGGTATTTGTGTATCCAACTTCAGGTTTTTTAACCGTCGCCAGCTTATTATAGTTTGACCTTTGACGTTTAATCGTCAGAATTGAATGATTCCATGTCTATCGAGCTGAAATTGATCTGCATGTCTCAAATCGTGTTAGGCAGACAATCCAAGAAATTAATTTTTTCACTCTTAACACAGCACGAAATTTACATCATTTCATTTTTTGGCGTTATCAGGTCACTCCTCCGGATGAGCACGGATATTGCAGCATTGGGTCAAGCGTGGATACTGCTCGAGCTGCTCTACAAAGCGCCAAGGTCGTCATCGGTACGCATCATGACCCTGTTCTGACATAATATATCTTCATTGATCATGTAAAATTAATTTTTGTAGGATTCCTGTTTCACAATCATCAACCCAAGATTAAAAAAAAATTGTGCATCCGCAGAAATCTCTCTTATTGTTAACAAGTCAAAATGTTGTCAACTAACAATTTTTAAGACATTAATTCAGAAGCAAAAGAATAGACATTGTGTCGAAACGAAAATATCTGCTTCCAGTCTGCTGTCATGTGTTTTCCCCTTTTCTCACTGTTTGTTAGAGCATCATCAACTTTCTTTTTTAGTGTATCTCTTGTTTTCCTGTCCTCTGTTTGGTGAACTGCATCTTGACATGTGCTTGTGGCACTAAGATTCAGTTTCTTACAAAAGGAAAATTGTCTGTTTTTGCCAAGTTTTCTTTACATTTCCTGAAAATTCAATACCTTTTACACTGGAATGAATGCATGTGATACCTCTGAATTATGAATTGATTCTTAAATATTTTTCTGTCCAAATTGGAATCCATAAACTTGTTTTTGCCTATACAAGATACCACTGTATTTCTTGCTGGAAAAATGTTAACCCAATCAAATGGATTATTCTGTAGAACTTATCTAGTTTCCTCTGATAATGTTGTACCCAAACTGATACAAAAGGGCGCGGAATTTGAAATAAAACACTGGAAGCCGCTTTGGGGTTCAGCTGGGGATCTTGTTTGAGATCCCAAAGAAAAAGATAAAGATGTATTTCTTTTAACCCCAAACACAAAACGGATCTTTTCACAAATTTGCACAGTCATAATGATCACACGCAATTAATGACTTGACTCAATGAAATCTCTCGCCGTACTGACTCAGAACATTCCATGACATGGCGGCGGCAAGTTGGCTCCAAGAAAACTGTAGAAAACATGAGAAAAGTCTCAATTGTTCAAGATTAATTTGTAGAGTATTGCGCATAGATTTACGGTACGGTAACGTGCCAAATTATTCCGCCAGAAATGTCATTGTTCTACTTGTCTTGCAGGTCAAGTGAACAAGAATGCACCCAGGACATTTGGTGATGGTATCATCCATGTTTCTCACTTTGACGCATTGGTGGAGAGCAATGTCCCGCTGCCTGAGCACCCGCCAAAGAAACGCTCTGCCATTGAGAACAAGATTGGAGAGCTCATTGCCAAAGAGCTTGTTGACAATGGGGCCACTCTTCAAATGGGTGAGAGCAGTATTTTCTTTTGTTACTTTTTCTGTGATAATTTTCATTGTGCTTAACATATTTTCATTTGGCAAACATTTGCGGTTTGAATTGACTACAATATCTGAAAAAAATGTCATAATTTATCAAACATTTCTTTGTACAGTAATAACAACTTTTAAAATAATATTTGTTCTTGTTGTATCAGTTTCACTTCTGGTCTCCACTGGCATATTCATCAGGAGAATTATTTGTAGAGAATTTGATTCCCAACAAGACGCTTGAAGTGTAAGAAACTTTTTGTGTGGTTGAATTAGATGGGTATGCAATAAATATTCAATTTTATTTTACTGTAACATTTTTTGCAAAAATTTTACTGAAGGTCCTGTGGAGTAGAGAAAAAAGAATAAATACAGTATCATTATAACGCATTTCTCAGGTTGAGTGCAAACAATGTCTCCTTGGGGTTTACCAGTTCCATTTCAATTAGTGGCATCTCTGAATTTTTCTCCAATTGTATATTAATGAAAAATGTAACAACATGTTTAGTGAGATCATTTCTTTGAAAAGAAAATAACACATAAAATCGAAAAATGAATCAGACCATGATCCTATGATACTGCATGGAAGACATTTAATTTTCTACTGTAGAAAATTTTGTTACTTTTTCTGTGATAATTTTTATTGTGCTTAACAGCTGGTTTTCATCTGGCAAACGTTTGCGGTTTGAATTGACTACAATATCTGAAAAATGTCATAATTTATCAAAAATTTCTTTGTACAGTATAAAAACTTTTATAATGATAATGAGATTTTATAATGAGATTTTTCCTAGTTTCGGCAATGGTGACGTCAACCCCACTCTTCTGAGAAATCATGTGTGACGTAACAGTGCTATGATATTCGTATTACGTATTCAACTTTTCGCATTCCCTGAGCATTAAAAAAAATCCAATACACAGGACAGTATTTGATCGCTGACTAACGATTTTTGTCTGTCAATAAGGGATCGGGAATATTCCGGATGCTGCCCTGGCTTCATTGACGGATCACAAGGATCTGGGGATCCACTCCGAGATGTTCAGCGACGGGATCCTCCGCGAGCAGCTTTTCCCGACGCACTGGTTATCGTTCTTCTTCGAAATGTGACCTTTCTAGGAGCCTAGGAAGAGCCAGCCGTGCTCCTTTGAGATGCTGAAGTACGTGTTGTTAGGGAAGCAGCCATTGGTTGGGGGATACCAAGCTCAAACTCATTTAACTCCATAATTTTCTTTTCCTTTTTTTGAAAAAAAAATAATAATAGTGATTTCAAGTGGTAACTAAAAAATTAGAAGAAACACCAATAGAATAAAGATGGACGCTCTCAACAACGAAATTCAAGGGACCAGAGAACGATTCGATGGAGAGAAACTTTGTTTGTAGAGAAACCCTAAAACATGGGGGAAAGAACCCCATGAACCAAAAAATTCTTTATACAAAGATAATTGTTGTAGAGAGTAGAGTCCACCAGTAAAAACATTGTTGGAGATATCCCAGCAAAACGGGTTTAATTTATCTACCTGAAAAAGGGAGTTCGAAACACAACTTTCATGAAAAGGCTAATTAAACATATACTGTACCATTAAACATAGTGTTGGCATTTGCTGGAAAATGCTTTTTTGTAATTTAAAATAAAATTGTATCTAAAATCAAAATTGTTGCCTGCTGGATTTTTAAAATACTACGCATACCACCAACAACTACTGTATGTCTTCTTCCAGTGATGAATGATGTGGCGTACGTGAATGCGCCACACAACATCATGCAGAACCCATTCCACTGACGGTAGTTGAGAACGTAGCTTCACCTGGAGTGACCTGTTCACCAGCGACTAAGGTAACCGTGGGCTTACAAAAGGCCACACCCTCCAGTCCACCTGAAAAACGCGCCTCGACGAGAGTGCACCGATGGTCTTGGAAAGCCCATCCTAGCCTTGGCCTCCTCCACCAACAAGGGAGAGACCAAGATTGTTCCCTTCTTGAAGCCAGGTATGATCTCTCCACCCTCTGAAACAATCTGTAACTTGTGTCATCTTTTATGAAACTTGAAGAAAAATGTTTGGAATTTAGTTGTTACCTTGAACCCTCATCCCTAGAAGTACTATAACGTGTTTGAAATTTTATATCAATCGTTATAACCGACAACACACTCACTTAGTATTAGAAAATGTTGTTGGGAACAATACTTTTTCGTCTCAACACAACAAATTTGTTTTTGAATGAGTCCTGTCCTATAGCCACAATCTCGAATGCCGAATGTCTACATAACAAAGTTTTGTCCGAATTCCATTTTTGCTGTTTATTTTCAAGCAATATTCAGATGCATGCTAAGCATGATTCATCAAGCAGCTCTTTGGGGTGCTGTGTTGATGAAATTCAATTTATGAAATAAAAATAATTCAATGTGGCATACTCACACGTAATACTGTATGTGTCAATACAAAGATCACTTTTTCAATCGTTGCTGTTGTCATGGGTCATTATAAAGCAAGTGAATCATTCCCTCGGGGAAAAATACTTTGTATGCAATATTGTACCATTGTAACTTTTATTGATGTCTTTCAGGTGGCGGAGTGGTGACAACAACTCGTGTACACGTGATGTAGCACTGGCTCGTGCCGTAGCGTATGGACAAGCCGTTCTTGAACGCGGTTGCGCGCGTGCGAGAGTAGGTCCACCGCGTGGGACTGGTGGCACTTTTTGACCTTTTCCGCGCATTCGAACGACTCAAGTGCATGCCGTCTGCCAAGTGAACAAAGGGATAAATCCCTTGTCCAATGTCAGGATTAATAAGAACATGTACCCAACCGCTCAATTCAGTAACTCATTCAACAGAGAAAACAAAATAAGAAATTCTTCAACCTCGCAAAATAAAACTTTCCAATTGTCTTTGATTCATAATCAAGAAAGTAAAAGGATGCCCGAGAGCAATTCCAGTTCTATTTGAAGGCCTTTCTGAACTCACTCGACAAGCAAAAGATAAAATTCAGCGTGCCGCATTTTGGAATTAATATGAATAATTAATTGTTGATCCCTCATGAAATTCGATTTCCCGCCCGTCCATCCGGAATAATGACAAATATTCAGGTGCGTACTCTAAGGAACAAGAAGGAAGTGTCAGCACTTATGAAAAAAAAGTCAAGGAATGAATAGCTTTTTGAGTTGAAACCGGTGCTGACGCAAGAATTGTGTCACGAAACGTCGGTCGACGACCGAATTCTAGGCAACAATTTTTCGCTTCCGTTGACGAAAACAGTTTCTCTTTTGCCGTGGCGAAGAAAAAGAGATACTAGTGCTGAGAAAACGTACATTTTAGAAACGTTTGCTGTGCGATGCAAAGGGACTTGTGAATGCAAATTTATTTCTTTGGCTTTTTTTCTTGGTCGAGCGTTTGTTTTGAGTTTGAAACTTCTGTTCTAGGTCTTTCACTTCAATAAATTTCTTGTGCCTTTTATTTCAGAAAAAGTGAAGCAGTCCATCTTCCTCTTTCTATCTCGTATACATGATTTTCTTTGTATTTCTTCTTGTGATTGGGAATGGCAGTATTTTTTGCCATTTCCCCACGCGCGGGTTCTGAGGGTCATCTCATCATTCAGGGATTTTAGAAGAAGAAGGCTTTTTCTTGACTCTAGAAGAAATTTTCGCTCATATAGTTTGCTTTCAGAGAATACATGCCCAGTGAAGGTTTTGCCAGAAATTCGTCTTGATTTATTTCCACATATTCAATATGCAGTAGATAAATTTGTGTAACGATTGTCTCTTAAAGCAGCATACGTTAAACTCAATTGAGCATACATTCAGTCCACCTTTTTACATGTTCTAATGAATATTAGTGCATTCCTCTGAAACCATGCTCAAAGAATTTTAAAGCGTTGCTTGTCAAACTTTTCAGCCATGTATTAATCATCACACTGCACATTCAATACGTGTTTGTGATTAAATGATCGGTCAGGGAAGTTTGTGAGCCTTGAACTGAACCTATTTCAGAGGCGCACATATATAATTACTGTATTATTCAGAGAAATGAACTTGATCGGTTCCCAATAGATGTTCAAGATTTTGCACATCCAGGTTTAAATGCAATGAAGAGAAAAGAGAGAGATAAAATCGACTCGCTTTAGACAATAAGGTTTAATTCTGTCAAACTTACATATATGCAAGTACAGTACAGTATTACAAATTTTTTGGTCAAGCGGTTGTAAATAAATACAGCATTAAAAAACAGTACAGTATCTTTAAAATCTAAATTACAATGTTCCAGATCCTACAAAAATAAATAATACAGTAGTTGGGATCTCGACAATGTTTGAATCAGCAATACTGCAGAAAGGTAATTTTGCAATTCTTGAGCTTAGCACTCAACTTCCTCAAATTTATGCGCAAAAATCCTAAAAAGCATAGCCTTTTCAGACAGGTTAGACAGATTTTATGGAGAGTATTGTATAAGAAATCAATTTTATGAATTTCATTTGATATTTTTTTATTCCAAGCCGGAATCCCAATAATATGATTGATCACTATTTCAATTCAACCAACACTCTTGCACGCCTCAATCCCAAAAGTACGACATAATCAAGAACAATTAAATTAGGTTAGTTTCAATAAACCACCTGCAACGGAATTTTCAATGATTTTTAGAATACAACACTGCATTTTTGTTAGTTTGGAATCATTACTGTACTGCTATTGGTTTGATTTGCAAAACCCGAGAACTTCTTCAACGTTTTTAAACAAAGGATGAAGACGGTTAAATATTCTTTATACTTTACGAGACTGGAAGTTGTTGTCATCGGGCAGTGTGCTTTTTTCGAAAAGAAAAAAGTGTTTTTCTTAGTAGCAAGTAAGTTGGTAGCTAATGTTATAAATAATGGCATATCCAATAAGCAGTCTGTAAATACAATATAATTACTTCCGAATGCCTGACACATTCTGCACTACTCATTGAAGGTTCCAACAGCTCGCACTTAACCGGGGTTCTCAAAAAATTTCGACGAATTTCCCGAGAAATCGAAGTGCGCATTAAACGAGTCGCTGTTGCCACAAGAGTGTTGCGAAAATTAATCGGAATTTATCCGAAGATGCAACCCGTCAGATACGCAATCCGTAAATATTCCGTGTCGGCAGCACTGCGAAGCAATGTTCTATACAGGGAACCCATCGCTCCAATCGTCGGCAGGAAGCCTGCCTATATGAAAAAGGAGGAGGCCGTGCAGATGATCAAATCTGGTCCGGATTCTCCTACTTCACATGATCTTCTTCACTCATAGAGAATAACACGATTCACCTTTCCAGGAGACATAGTTTTCATTCACGGAGCAGCTGCTACGCCTTTGACTCTGGTGGAGGCCATGACGGAGTACGGCAAGAGGATGAACCTGAGAAACGTGCAAGTCTGTCACATTCATACAGAAGGAAAGGCGCCGTACATGGCGAAGGATTGCGAGGGTCAGAAACGTTTTACCACTTTAAAAAATTGAAAAAATTCGTGAAGCGATCACCCAGTGCGTAGATACATCGTCGATCGATGCTTGAACCTGAATGACCGGAGCAATCAACTTGGAAATAACAATCGAAAAAAGTCCATGACATTGCTTTTCCAAAAATCTTGATTTCTTGTCTATTTGCTGCAACGTAAACACCGTTACAACTATGGCTATTTGTGAAGAAATTCAGGAAACACATTATTCAAGAGATTCAATAAGTATCCATCAAGCATGCGTTCAACAAGCCAAATCCGATTTCGATTCATTTAATATCAGATGCGAAAGTAATTCCGCATTTAGAATATTTAACTTGATGAAATTGCGTATAAAGTAAAACATTCGTCTACAATAGTTCCAAAAGAGTTGTACTGTAAACATATATTAATTTTCGTAGCGTAAAGAATCTGTTCATAAACCTCTATTCATCGGAATAGCTCACCTATACGATTTTAGGTATCTTTCGCGGAAACTGCTTCTTCGTCGGGGCGAACAGCAGAGTAGCTGTGAACGACGGTCGGGCAGATTTCGTGCCGATTTTCCTCTCCGAAATCCCGCTCTTGTTTCAGAGACGAGCCATAGAGCTGGACGTGGCCCTGATTCAGGTGAAACGCGGAGTTCGACCCTTGCACTTCACACTTTTCTAAACTGCCCATATTAATTGAAAACGATATTAAACAAAAGGTCACTCCGCCCAATGCGCATGGGTTCTGCAGCCTCGGTACGAGCGTAGACTGCGTCAGGGCAGCGCTCACGAACGCGAGGATAATCATAGGTGAATAATCGAGGCACGCCTGTGCAGCCATTTGCAATTTCCACTGAGGTGCACAGCTTTAGCTTGCATGCCGCACAGCTGGCTCCACCAAGAAACCTGTAGTATAGCATACATTTTTGTATGCTTTTTTTTCATACAAGAATAAGAGCCGAAAAAAGTCCGTAACTTCGATCCTCCTTTTTGAACCTGACACAGCAACATGGTTGGCACCGCAGATCCTTTTTTCGATTTTACAATTCACGATTTGTTCAAGGTGCAAGAACAATGTGGCATTTGATTAAAATGCTCAGCTTTAAGTTAAAACACAAATTTCAATTACCTCAAGTCAAAAATCCATCCATTTCAAGTAATTCGAATACGTGAACATAGTCAAGTTTCCTTTTCTTAAAAACTGCATAGCAACTCAGCTGCTCTATTCCCGCATTTGGTAAAACTCACAAAAATCCATGTAGCAAAGATAAGCAGCGTCTAAGTGAGTATGCATTATTCAAATTAATTTAAAAAGCTTTAGCGGGTTTAAAAGCTGAATACTGTACTGTACCGAGTTTTGGAAATGGAACTCATCATGTTGAGTACAGAAAATTGAAACGAACACATATTGTCTCACTCAGAATTTCCAGTGCATCGAGGATGTGCTTTTTGTAAACATATTGTATTTGAATCCACTCAAAGCCGTATGCAATACTAAACTTCATACAAAAAAATAATTTCCCAACCTCACAGAAATTAAATCAGAGCAATGAATCAATAAGTCATGGTCCCCTCCTTCTCCTCATTGCCTTTCATCTGGCTCCAGTGAAATTTTTTCTTACTCTTGTCATCTTCTTGAAATCAATAAGAGAATCATCTTGCACCTGCGTACTGTGTTTATGAATTAATTTTGAAAGCTGTAATTTTCCGGAAGCGCAGCTCAGGTCAACAAGAACTTACCCTTGACCTATGGCGACGGGATTATCCACGAATCCCACGTGGACGCGTTTGTGGAAGATCACAGGCCGATGCCACAACATCCGTGCAGAAAACGGTCGCCGGCAGAGGATAAAATTGGACAACTGATAGCCCAGGAGCTGGTGCAGGATGGAGCCACGCTTCAACTGGGTAATGGCACATTCATACTCAACACAAAGCCAAACCTTTTCAAGTTGAATTTGAAGCAACTCCAAAATACTGGACTTGAGAAAATAAGCAGGGATTTCGACCTGATACTGTATGTGCAATTTTTAAGTTAAAACGATTTTATGGCCATTCCATTTACAGAGTTCATTATTCGAATACTTGTATACTGTATTACNAGTATATGTTTATCCCTCATTGAAAAATGAAATCCAGGGATTGGAGCCATACCCGACGCGGCCCTGCACGCCCTGTCTGGCCACAAGCACCTGGGAATCCACTCTGAGATGTTCAGCGATGGGCTCATTGACCTCATCGAGACTGGTGCAGTGACGAACCATCTCAAGAGACTATCGCCCGGGAAAACCGTCAGCGCGTTCTGTGTTGGCTCCCAACGGCTCTATGACTACATTCACGAAAACCCCTTCATTAGTGAGTTATTCATCTTTCGTGCGTATATTACCCTGTAGCAAATTCAAATTTAATAAGATTTAAAATTACATTGAGACCCCCACATACGGACACCTCGACCTGCAGACAACTTGACATAGGGACACTTATTTTCTTTGAAAAAATTAATAAAAAGGCCCAACATGAGGACACTGACTCAACATAGGGACATTTTGTGATAAAATTGTGAGTACATTTCAGGCCACATTACAAGAAACAGATATTTCCAACCCTAAAATTGATGTAAGAAAAGTTATTGGGCATTTCTCTCACCAATTTAACATCCATTTAACTAATTTTTAAAAATTACCTCCAGCATAGAGGGACTTCTACTTTTTTTTTCACTAGAATGTTATTTTTGTAGATGCCAACATTTCAATGTCCAGTACAGAGATACACTATTCAATGCTCCAAATGTTCTTCTTGAGTTGAAAATGTATTCACTAATTCAAATTAAAGTGGCAAACAATTTTTTTCAGAGAATTCTGAAGAATATTTCTCCCATGAAACACCAATTAAAATTATATACTGTAATGTAAGTCTATGGGAAAACAAGACTCAACTTAGGGACACTCTTGATTCACCAATTATGTCCGCATCTTGGGGTCTCACTGTATATTCAAAGAAAAAAATTTGAGTTGATCTTGTTCTCAGTAAAAATTCAACTTTGCAGTTTCGCCTTAGTCACTGCCATTTTGCTGCAAGAAATGTTTCATTCTGCCGCTGGGATTCTTCGTTTTTTTTCTTCAAATTAAATTAAAATTCCCGACAGAATAAAAAAACAGAAATGAGTGACAAAAATCCGTCAATAAAAATGAAGAATATACAGTACAGCAGTATAGGTGCTAGACTCCCTCTACAACAATTTTATCTGCATAAATAATAATCGTTTTGTCTCAGGACTATATCCCCCTGTTACTGGGGATCTCTACAATGGCAATCTTTCAACAACGAATTTTTTCTTTCTTCAATTGCTTATAACTTTATTGTAGCGAGAGACCACCTAGCATAATTTTACTGTACTGTATATCCGATCAGCATTTTTTTTCAAGAGGAGAAGGAAAATGTAAAGAATTCAAATGAATGTCAGGATAAATGTAAACTTACGATGAAAACTGAATTATCGCACTCCCTCACGGTATTCGAATTTGATTACACCGTGCCTACGGGTTTTCCGGCGGAACCGATTAGACATGTCGTCACACTCGTCACGCCAAAAAATTTGCTTCAACGGAATTTCCCTTAACATTCAATTCCGAAAACAATGCTTCCCATTCTTTCTTCACCAGTGATGACAACTGTTTCCTACACGAACATGACCTATTTGATCGCCAAGAACCCGAAGGTCACCGCCATCAACTCTTGCATCGAGGTGGATTTGACGGGCCAAGTTGTTTCCGACTCCATTGGCCTCAAGATTTACTCAGGTGGCGGACTTTTTTTTTGAGACAAACATCATTCAAATGAGAAATAATTTAAATTTTCTTGATTTTCGTTTTCGAGGTGTCGGAGGACAAGTGGACTTTTTGCGAGGAGCCGCGATTGGGTACGATGGGCTCGGAAAACCCATCTTGGCCCTTCCTGCGACAACAAGCAAGGGGGAATCAAAAATTGTCCCAACCATCAAACAGGGTGACGAGTAACTTGCATACGAACTAGAAAGCTAACTAACGTACTAAATCATGTTACAGCAAACTTCCAGGCACTTTGAGGATTACATTCAAAATTATTCTGTACAAGATTTGGATATTTTCATTTTAAGTTCCGGAACTTATTTCTTCAAATATGAGCTTTCTCTGGCCATATTTAAAAATTTTTCCAAACAGGATACAAAACAAAGAATTTGCCATGCCACAATAAAGTGAATAAACACAGTTGAATAAAAGAGCTATCCATCCGATTTGATCAAGAATTCCGAACAAATGAAAAATTTTTAAAATGCCCAACTGTCGAAAAATAAAAATCAATTTTACGAATTTCCAAACGCGCCCTTCACAGGTGGAGGAGTTGTAACGACTCGAGCGCATGTGCACTACATCGTCACAGAGTTCGGTACGGCATATCTCTGGGGCAAGAATCTGCGTCAGCGCGCCTTCGAACTCATCAGAGTTGCGCACCCTGACCACCGCGAGTGGCTCGAGCGCGAGTCGTACAAGCGACTCAAGGTCATGCCTTCCCCCTGAATTGTAATCGAATGCTTCTTTATGCCCCATAACGCTTGACTCATCCACAGCGCAGTGTTTGATTCTCTGCGTGCTCTTGCAATCTACGTGATGAATAAAAAAAATTCGATTCGAACATGTTCGATAGTCATGACACATTGCATGTGTCACATATACGAGTACAGTACATTTTTTTAGTCCCCGAAGTAATGATCGCTATTGTTTTTCATCCACCATGAACAACGAACATAGCGCGCCGTGCTCAAGGCTACTGCAGTGCAATTTTTTCGATTGTCTGGTCATCGGTTCAGGAATATCGCAATTTTTTGTCGTTGATCACAACTCGTACAACCCAGCGCATTCGGACCGCAGGAAGTGTGTTGGGTTACACACTTACACTTACACTTCAACACTGTGCGTAGTTACTGTGTCGCAGTTTTTTGATTCCTGTACATCTTTTCCACAAGTGATCAGGACGGGAGGTGTTGTGGTACCGGGTTACCAGAAATGTCGCAGGTGAGGATGGGTTATTTTAACTGTTACCATTATTCATGCGACAGGCTTATTATTATTATTCATCATGGCTTTCAAATGAGCGAATGAGCAAAATTAGAATTTTTCAAGATCTCACATCACGAGAGACTCACCATATTCAAATAAGTACTCGTAGCATTATTTCAGTTCGCAAGACTTTCCTCCAGTATTGTATGCAGCAAGATAAAAATTGGTTCAAAAAAATGGGAACAAGTCGAAGTATTTCAAGTTAAAACAATATATGAACCCAAATGCCCTGACTCACATATGTTGATGCACTGATCGAGCTCTTTACACAGCTGAGGTTACTCCCAACAACTTCTGATCTCTTAATTGCTGCAGAAGCTCAAGCAATAAGACGGACATATTCTCTCACCCTCTTTGAAGCAATTTTGTTGGTAATCCGTTCGCCTGGTTAAAAATTAAAAGAAACGAACGTGGACTCTCCCCCAGCGATTGTCTGTCTCCGTATAATGAACTATTTTTGGTCCCATACGGTTCACTTCCCATGTTATGAGGGTTCTTTACAATGATATATTTTTGGTCCCATTACTTTCGGTGTAGAGAGTCCACATGTATTCCCAAACCAATTGAACGCATAGAGCATTAATTTCGAGAGTCACCCGTTTGTATTTTCTGTCGAAAATCGTACGAAACGTTAAAAAACTGAACCGCGAACGTAGCGATGAAACGAAAGACCCGTGAAATGTCAAAATGAACATACCTCGCGGAAAAATTCCCTGAATACTTCACTTCCTCATAGAAAACTGCCAATTAGGAAGCACTGGAGGTAATTCAATCTTCCGCTGGCAAGTGTGACCAGTCGATTGGAGACAATCCGTTTTCCTTCAACAATTGGTTCGTTTTGGAGAAGTGGCGACAGCCCAAAAATCCGCGATGCGCCGACAATGGAGACGGATGAACGGCTTTCAGGACACCGTGCTTTTTCTGAAAAATCGAATAATTTAAAACCATAATATCCAGGCACCCAACCAACTACGACAAAATTGCAATTCATTCAGTTTGAAAAAGCGGCCAGTTCATTCCTCGTAATTTCAACTGGAGAAGTTCAATTTTCCTCCTATTGACTTGATTATCTTCTAATCTGTTCAAGATACCGGACCATTCGGCGTACGATTGGTGGGTTGAAGTACAGTATCTTTGTTGAGCTTTTATTGATGACTCCTATTCATCCAAAACTTTAGCTTGAATATGCCGCGAAGAAATTGAGCGAATAACTGAAATAATATTTGAAGTATCATTCAAGGTAAAATAGGAAGTTATCGGGGAATTATTCCGTCCTAACCTCGAAGTATTCCTGTATTACTGTTGTTAAAATTCAAGTGAAAGGACAACACAGGACACTGGTAAATCTTTTACTCGGCAAAATTTATAAAATAAGCAGATCTTGATCCAATGAAAGCCGCGGCCAAGAGGACGAGCTCACTCGAACAATCGTTTACTTACTCCATTAATCAAGGACACTTTCTTCTGAGCATTTGCGCCCCACAATAGGAACACCAGGTAGGGTTGGGTATCGCTCAAGCGTTTAATGACAGCGTCAGTGAATCGCTCCCATTCCGACGTTTTCGAGTGTGAGTTCGCCTGATTCGCACGAACCGTAAGCGTAGCGTTTAATAGGAGCACACCTTGATTGAAAAAATATACATAAAAAATAATAATTTTATCGACCCAAGTATGAAAAAGTGCGTCAAGTTAAACTAACCTTGCTTCGCCCAGCCAGTAAGTGTTCCGTGTTTCGGGGCGACGAAGCCTTCGATGTCAGCCTGCAGCTCTTTGTATATGTTAACCAAGCTGGAACACGGGGAAATTATGAACAAATCAAAACTACAAATCGAGTTTTATGTCGTCGGAATGATAATTGCTTCTCAATGCCAGTTGAACACATGTAAAAAACGCCTAACAATTTTTTTCTGCTTTGGGACGTACTTCTGCCAATCAAGCGTTCGTTTTGAAGTTTGCCTCAAAGCTGCAATAAAGAAAAGTCTATAGTCAATGAAAATATGGACTAGCTGAAATCCTTGTTATTGGACTAACCCAGTTAACTAAGATACTGACTCAGATATTTGTCTGCTCAAAGAACTTAAATTCAAGTTTTTCTGTACATCGTAAGAAAGAAATCTTCGACTGGGCAGAAAACTCTCGGCAAGAAGTATTACGCAGTGCATGTAACGAAGATTACATATTCCTGTACTCCCAAGAAGAGGTATGAGTGGAACATGGAAATTTTTATATATTTTTAGACTTAGCAATAAAAGAAAGATCTAATTAATTGAACATGCAATTAATACAATAATTTACCTTGGTGGAACAGCAACACTTGCTCGCACGCTGAAACAAAGCCCATGAGCTTGGCCAGGTTGATGATATGGGTCTTGGCCGAGAATCACAACCTTCACTTGGTCCATGACACAATGCTGAGTCCAAGAGAACACCAAATCCGCCGGGGGATATACCGTGAACTTCTTTCTCTCCTCCATCACAAAATCATTCAACTGCAAAAACACAGAAAAAAAATCTTTTAGGTGGATCCTTGAAGCTAATCCATAAAGGGAATGTCCAATTTTCTCTTTTTTTTAGCACGGAAGCTACGTGATTTTCAATACTGTACATTCAATCTGGGAAATTTGAATCGTATATTGCAGTGTTCCCAACTCGTGGTCTACAGAAGTTTTTTGCTGGTCCATTGGAAATTTTCAACATAATACATGCATCAAAAGTAGGGATGAATTTCTGTTGTCTTTACCTAAAATTTTGGAAGAACAATTGCACATGAAATTATCTGAGGAAAATAAAAGCTGTCTTTTCTCTCAACACTGCTCAGAAAGATTTACACCTGCTGAAATAAATACAGATAATTTTAATTTTTTAATTCTGAGGAACCTTTCTTCAAGCCCACCTTTCTAATCTTTTGATGACATTCAGCTACAGCTGCTTCATCGTGGCTAAACTCAATTTTTGCAAAAATCAGAAACTGTTAAATACCTGCCATGAAATATTTCAAGCAAAACTTCTGGGAGTCAGCAAAATTTTATTAAACTTCGCCAGTCCGCAGAAATTTTGCTTGGGAATTTGCTGGTCTAGTGGCCAGCAAAAATTTTTGACATTTTGCAGTCCGCGGGTTCAAAAAGGTCGGAGAACACTGGTACTGTATATTGCATACAAGTATGACGCGAGAAAGTGGAGAAGACTTTCTACCAAACCGAAACAATGGAAATCAGCGTAAAATGTTAACTCTCGAGGAATACAAAAATATGCAATATGCATAAAATGTTGAAATTTTCACCAGAATTTCAGATTGATCAATTTACTTCTTATAAAAGAAAATATGCTCCTTTTCCGGGAAAAAGAAGCGACGAATTCTTAAAGATCTTGATCGCAAAAATGATTTTTCTGCCTTTTCCCCCGATTTATATTTCGCAGACGAAGAGGCACTCTTGAACTTCGGCATGTGTGTGACATTTTCAGTATAAGCTATCTACTTGGCTCCTTTTTTTTCAAAAACATTTTCAGCCGCAAGTAAGGTTTCATTCAATAATTTTCATTTTCTCTGCTACTTTTTTGCACGAACGATATAAGTGTAGACTGCAAATATAGGTTAAAATAGGTACAGTATCAACTGCTGTGTTTTTGCTTGAGGTAAGGCCAAGAACAGATTTCTATAATCCCCAACGAAGATGAGGTACACAAACACTTCCGTCTTGAAAATTATGAGCTCGTTGAAAAGTTGGGAGGCCCAGTGTTCAAAATTCAGGACGAAGATTACGAAATCCCCAATTCCATACCTTCGCAAAATAAGGCGCTTGAAATTCCGTCTCCAAGGCTTTGAACCAGCTTGTGCCGAAGTTGGGCGGGATAACACGGGTCAAGGCGGACTGCCGACGGATCAAAGCAGCGAGTCTGTTTTCAGCAATTTTTTGCATTTGCTCCGGGCTCAACACTACGGATCCCTTGTTCTGCTCATCTTTCGGCGGGGTTTTTGTCGCCTCTTCAATCACCGGTTTCTTGGACAACTATAAAATTCAAACATTCAAGATCGATTCGAAAGAATTAGTTGGCGTCTCTCACTAAAATACGCGTGAAATATAATTTATAATTGATCAACTCACTGATTCGTGCTGATCTCTACCATCATTCACAGCTCCAAAAGCACGCTTATTAGACGTCGGGGTCAAAAACTTGAGCAAACTCGTTTGCTTAGACATGAATACCACAAAAAAATTCTTTCAACAAAACAAAAAGTAATAAAAAATGAATACACTAAAAAGGGGGGCTCTAAGAAACACAAAACGGGGTCATGAAGTCGTAAAACAGAGGGAACAAAAAGCAACAGAACATCAAGCACACTCAAGGCAATAATGACCTCTCGAATACTGTTTGCACGCAATTTTTCTTTTCTCTCTTCATAGCACGCACTGAATTGATCGCACAGAACAAATCAACAAACATAAAAACCGGGATTTCCGTCTTTTTTTCTTCTTCGTTTTCAACAGCACCAAATTGAACCAGCCTCCGCATTATTCTTCTCCCCCAAAAAAAATATTGAACGGCAAAAAAGGCCAGCACACTAACACGTGTTTCGTTTCTGCATGAGCCGAGAATCACAAAAATTTTCGCAACGAACGCTGAGGAGGTTTCTTTTTTTTTCCGGTTCAAGATTTCGCAGTTTGCAAAACGCGCGAGAATTAAAAAAAGAGACTCCCCAACCCTTCACCACAAGAACACGCACGGAAAAAAAAAAAACCCAAGAAGTTCAATAGTTCGCATCTCAGTTCTTGCACACATCTCCAGAATTTCTGTCAAGCTGGCGGAATGTTCCGCAAACGCCTCTTTGACAATGGAATGCTCGAAATTTCAGGAAAAACAAAAGTGACGCCCTTCGTTAACTGCGAATACTTTCGACACTTTGAATGCGAATTTACGATTTTGACTATACAAGAATGCACAGTTCTTTTTCTTGAACCGGGAATGGCACACAACATATTCTCGAAAAGCAGCGATATCAGATATCTCCCGCAAAAGAAATGGCAGAAGTTCACGCTGCGAATTACGATTCCTGCAATGATGGCAATCCTGAATCTCATTCTCGTCTTATGCCTCTCGAACAGTCCATTTCACGTCCTTCCATTTTTAAAAGCTGTTGAGTGAGCATACAATTTTTATGCAAAAAAAATCGTCATCATCTCCGTCAAATTTCCTCCGCCTAAGATTCAAGTTTGAAAAAAAAAATAAGGTGAACAATTGTTTCATCAGTTCGTTTAAATTGAGTATGAAGTTCCTTCTCTTTTTCATGAAAAAGAATCCTCCTTTTGGAGTCAATTTCTAAGGCGACGTTCAATTGAAATCCATTTCTATAGCGCGGACCCCCACAAAACGTCTTGAGCTTCATGTATCTTCCTCCAAAAATTGCACATTTCTGTCTTCATGGCTAAGACCTCGAGTTACATACATATTTGCCCCTAGATTTTTACCAGCCTTCTTCATGGAAAATTTTTTTTCAACATGCTTCCCTTTCTACTTGCCTCGTAAGGAATTCCAAAGCAAGTGAAAGCGAATTTCCAAGAGCTGCCAAAATCACACATCAAGAACATTAGTTTTTGGCAAAGTCGAGTTTCGGTTGTGCTACGTAACCAAGTCTGGTGTCAATTTGATTTTCCACGTTAAACTCACAAAAGGCAATTGAATGGGACTGAGGGTTGCCATCTCGCAGTGGTAGTGAATTGCAGGAACAGATCTAGTAAGTACAGTACCGCACCGAAAAATGTTCCAATGACCTGATTAAATCAACAGGAAAGCTCTTTTGCGCCAATTTGTACAAATGAATCAAAGATTTCAATTGGCTGCGACGCCCGACTTCTCACTCGAAAACTATGATTCAAAAAGATTCACTCGTGTCCTTGAAATTATGTTAAACACCCAAAAAGCAATCTAACTTCAGGCACGGATACAAAGCCGTTACAGAAGAAATTGATTGTCCCTATCATACGAAGAAGGAATGAACGTCAAAATAATTTTCAAGACACTAAAAAAAAAAAAAAAATGTCACGAGATGCGGAGATCAGACCACAGGACTCACAGAAAAAAAGGAAAAAAGCGATTCGATGAGCTTCACGTAACATCAACAATATGAATAAGGCAAAAGAAGCTCGAATGATGAAAACCTTTGAACGTGTTTAAACTTTGCAGTCGTCCGAGTAACAGGTTTTTTCTTCCTTTTTTAAAGAACGTGTCTTTCAAAAATTCGCGCAAATATTACGCGAAACAACTTTTGGAATATTCTTTGCATGCTGAATTGAGAATTCTCGCGTCATTTCTGAGTGCACCTCGACACTAGGTTTCTAGGTCACCGGTTTCACCCTTTCGTCGAATCTTCTGCTTTTTAATAGCTTGACATGCACTCCGGTAAACTGACGGGCCCAAATACGTTGAGTTCGTAAAGCAGCGCGAAGATGATGAACACGAAGTACCAGAGCACGAGAACGACACCGTAGCCCATTGTTAGCCGCCATCTTGTCGCGTGTGTCGCAACCAACAAGAAGATCACCGTCGAGAACAGCGACAAGGTCATGTAACTTAAACCTGGAATTGGAAAACAATTGAATAAAAATCCGCAATTCATCACAAAAGAAAAGGAATTCGTGGAATATCTGAAAAAAAAAAGAAGGGTTTGAGGCATTGCCATTTCCCGTCTGTGGCTTCTCGAATTCCGTAAATCCAAAAAATTAAAACAATGGGTGGCTCCAGTTTTTTTTCTCTCTCCAATTAATAATTTAGGGGATTTCAGGAACCACCAAACAAATGAAAACGTGAATCCATACAGAAAAATGAAAATATATCCCCGAAAGTTACGCCTTACGAAGACACTCCGGAGAAAGAAAAAAAGAGACGTCTGTTTCTCTTTCGCATCAGGTCTGTGGGTGAGATAAGGGAATAAATCACAAAATGGAAAAAATGTTCCCTTTCCTTTCCTAAATACCGAAAGATTAATGTCAGTTCTGCCTCCCTGGAATTATGTCAGGATCCCTCTTCCCCTGACTTCGGCAAAAAAATTTCCATATTATGTGCGTAATTCTCCGAGATACGTTTTTTTGCGTCAAATTAAAAGTGAGCCTCCCCGTTTGACGCAGGCAAACCATGAAGCTCAAGAAAATCTCGATTCATAGTCACCAATAGCTGCATTTTTTTTTTTTTAAATCTGGAATGTACGTCCATCGATTTACCTCAGTAACATTACAAGCAGCTACTTGATTCAATCAATGACAGAAGAGTTGACCAGATATTGGTCTCTAAAATTGAACCAGTGTCCTTTTACCTTTGTTTGCCACCAATACGGTCGAACCAGGAGAAACAACAGCAGTTTGAAGGAACCACGGCAATCCCAAGCACAGTAGGATGTCGAATACGTTGCTCCCGATCGCGTTTGAAACCGCCATGTCCCCGTAGCCTGACGAAATTTTTTTTTTTTAATTTAAAATTAAAATCTCAAGATTGAAGAATTTTCGACAATACCTTGTTTCACGACGGCAACGCTAGCCAGCATGTCCGGCATGGAAACACCGGCCGCCAAAATAGTGAAACCCATGATCACATCACTTATTCCCATGGTAAATCCAATGACAGCTAGCATCCAGACCATGACGTACGAGATGAGTGCGATCCACGTGATGCTCATCAAGAAAGTTACTATATACCAACGCTTCCATTCTTCCGAGGAACAGTCCGGAATGGTGTACTTGAACGCAATTCGCACTGGCGTCATCAGAACGTGCATAACTTTCGAAAACGCGGACCGCTCTTCCGCGGATTCCTCAATCGCTGATCCATCCTTTGATCCTGTAAAATCGGAGATTATTCTGACGATGCGTTCAGAAATTTTTTCTGACCAAAACTTAATTATCTTTTTGCGGCACGCGAGGTTATCGAGTTGCAATTGAAGACAGAAATTCCTTCGAAGATATTCACATAACTTCATGAGTACATTACCCTTCAAGAGTAACTATACAAGCACAGTACTGTATAATAAGCCTCAACAAACAAATTTAAGCCTGGCCGATACCAATGGAACCTACTTCAAATCGTAAGCCAATTATATTAAGCTTCACGAGGGATAAACTATTAACGATTCAGCATAAATTCAGCGTCTCGAGGAAAAATCTTCGAGCTTCAATTTGAAATTATGAATCGAAAATTTTCGCTCATTTCACAAAAATACCACGATACTGTATATATAATATAAGCATCGATGGATTTTTAACGAATGAAATTTAAACGACTTCCCATATTAGTTTGGGAATACGTCAGTTCGACAACAGATGATTTGCATTCCTAAACGAGAAAATGTTAACATACAAAAGGGGACTAAGTTTCACAGTCAAGTAGGAAAAAAATCTGTTCCAAGAAAATTTTCGCGTTACAAAACATACTTACTATGAAATTCCGACCCATGTTTGTCACTGACACTCGCAACATCCACATCGGGTCCAATAGGCACAGGATTAACGCCACCACTTTCAATTCCACCAGTTCCGTCGGCATTGTAACCCTCAAATGTGCTCGAGGCCATGAGTCCGGATTTTTCGTTCACCAAGTATTTGTTACAGGGAAGTTGGATCCAACTGCTTACGACAACCTCCAAACACGGGTTCAGCCACATGATGAAACAATAGAAGGCGTACAGGAGCAATAACGCTGCTGCTTCGTACCTGATGATAATGAAATATAATCTTTTCAGCGTTTTATGGAACAGAAATAAACCTTAAAAAACACGCTACACACGTAATACTCCTCATTTCAAGCATCCCAACAGTTGATACAGGTGGACTCTCTCAGCAACGATTTTTGGGGACATCGGGTTCTTTCTCCATATCATGAGGGTTCTCGAAAACGAAATTATTTATACAACGAATTTTTTTGGTCCCCTGTATTTCGTTGTAAAGAGAGTCCACCTGTATTACATTAAAAAATTCTGATTCTCCTTTTAAACTTGCTTCCAGTAAAGTTAGACAGGTGTCTCTTGAATTTGTTATTGAGTTATTCGACTAGAAATAAACTTCCTTTGTACAAACCTAACCAGCAGCGGAAGAAACTTTAAAAAAATATTGGCAAAACCCAAACGATGACGACGAATATCACGAAATCAACGCCATTTTACGTACTACAGAGGTACAAAATAATCCATTTCTGATCATAACGATAATTTGACTGATGGCAATGGAATTTAATAGATATGACAAATTTTCCTATTTCTCATCTTACCTGTTGGAATTGTATTCCACTGCAATTACGAAATTTTAAGTGAAATATGGTACTCTTAACGAATCATGCTTAATTTCAGGAAGTTTAATTTTGTTGAGGAGCGTTGAGTCCACTTTTTCTTTCTACTTCAATGGCCAATGGAAAGAAAAATAATCATCAGAAAATTCACTCACCAAACAACGACTCCATCGGAAATCACGATCAACATGGCGGAAATGGACAGGAGATAGAAAAGGGAGTCGCGAAACATGGGCCACCAGGACAACAAGACAGTAGGTTTCTTGCCCACCGACGCAACGAAGGCGCAAGCTCCAATTACCAGCATGATGTTGAAAACCGCAGAACCAATTACTCCACTAGTGCCAATGTCGTCCTTGGAAATGAATACCCCGATGACCGTCGTCGCCAACTCGGGCCCGGATGAACCCGCAGCCATGAATGTCGCACCCGCCACGTCCGCCGACAAATGCAATGCTTCCATGAAAATAAATATTGTATATTTAACACGTGAACACGAAATTATTGCGGGTTACTGAAGGCGACGAAAAATCCTTTTCACGTCGAAACTCCGTCGAGATAATTTTTATCTAATTTTTACAGCGCGAACTAACCTTAACAGGATATCAGGTTATTGGAACGAAACAATACGGAAATCAAACCAAATAGAGTACTGCAACTAGCAAAAACACACGAGGTTGTCCAAAAATTTATTGATGGTGAATTTTTGCTCCACATTTTTTCACAACTTCAAGACTTCAATATTTCTCAACATAATCAATATCAACTTGAAATCAATTTCTCGAACTTACATGAAAGTACTGTACGGTGTAATTTTATCAGAATATTAATCCATACAATGTAATTCTAGCAAAAGAGAAAAGCTAGGCTAAAATTAAATACTGCAAAGTCGGGAAAAGGTTTTGAAGATCTGGTTTAAGCAGAGGATCTACGCTGCTAACTCAAAACCTTTTAGTAAAACGATATACGGTACAACGCTGAATCTTGTCGATCCGCTTCCTCGAAATTACAAAAATAATTACGGTAAATGAAATATCAGATTTTGAAGTTTCAGACATTTCAATGAGTAATTATCAAATAATACATTCAATGTTGTTTTAAATGTCCCATTCACGACAGAAGAATCAAATCCGGACACCCTCAAACGCTCGACTTATTAAAGCAACAAAAAATGATCGTTCGACACAACAGGTGAGGATTTCCTACTCACCACCACTTATAGATTCCAGAGAGGGTACAAAGTAATCGTCGCACACAATCGACAAGGCTGCAAAAGTGTAAGCAACCACTAACACGTGCACGATGATTCCACCGTTTGCCCGTTGCTCAGGTGTCATGACAGTATTCGGGAACTGTTCCACGGCAGGGCGAGTGCAGTTATCGTCCAATCCGAGGATGCTGAGATCTAAAAAACAAGCAGGATCATGAAAAAAAAGTTATTACTGATATAGATGCGAAGGGAAACAATCAGAAAAACTGGAATATTCAATCATCACTGGGTAAATACGAAGGGCTCAGTGAATTTACAACAAAGTAACTTTTTCTCATCTTCACGCAGAACGGCATTAAAAAATAGGGCAGTTGAACGATACCTTCCCAAAGGATAATCTAAAGCTGAACGATTTCCCCTCCAAAAACCTTTCATCATTAATAGTATTTAGTAAGCAAACACTTTACATGTAGAAGACATGAAATGATCCACATGATCATTCTGGAATTGGAATGAATCCGTCTTACCAATGTCGGAAAGTGAGAAAAGGTTAAACCACGATCAAAAATCAGAACCCCCCTTCATGCAGAAAAGGTCTCAAAATGTTGAAGACATGACTTTAAAAATACATGACCTTTCCCGACATGTAATTTCAAGCAATGACAAACCAAAAAATCTTCAATGATGAACGTCTCATGCTGCCGAGAGAATCGCGAACATTGCAAACGATAATTTAAACAAAGTGAATCGAATATCGGGAAAAAATGAAATCCTATTCATCAACAACGAAACTTTTTCCAAAAGAGCGTTACAACCCGATCTAAACTTCTAATAGTTCTAAAGGATTCAAAAGACAGCACCCACGAAAAATATACTCACCGAGATAGCGCGCTGTTGTGACATTTCCTTCATGAAAAGGAGTGACCTCGCCGATTCCACACTGCGCCACAAAAAGCAACACTATCACCGACAACCACATCTTCTCCGCGTCCCAAACCGCCGCCTCAACTCCCTACACAGAAAAAAAAACTCACTGTACGCTGCACCAAAAAGAACTAGCATGAACGCAAAGGTAAAATAATATACCCGTCTACATCAGCGTACGAATCAACGACTTTGAATCATTTAATCACGCAGTGGACACAGTGCCATTCTCCAACAAAAAAGGGGAATTCTCTCGTACAGGGTTCAAGAAAGTAAGAGCAAACGAATAACCATAGAAGAGGAAAAAAATCAAACCTCCTCGAACGAATGCCCGAAAAGCCGAAACCCCTCACGAAAGTGGAAAAGAAACTTAAAGGTGGACCATCACAGTTGGGAAAAATGATACTAAAATCGTTCGGCTCCTCGTCGAACAACAGTTATCCACTCTAAACAAGACAGAAAACGAAACGAAACCTCGACAAAAGGCACAAATCGAAGGGTTAGAACGATTTCTTTGATAATTGCGGGACGAGGTACTCCTTCGCTGACTGCAACGCTTGGAGAAGGCCGTATTTCTTGCTCGATCGCTTCGAGAAATAATGGCTCACAACGTCGTGGTTTGCTGAGGACAAAAAACAAAATTATCAATTGAACAGGAAAACAATACAGCGGGTCATCAAAAACGAACGTCCCAAGCAGCAAACTTGAAAAAAAAATATATATATAACCCGCACGGCCGCCATTTCGCCTTGGGCAAAGAACGTGACTTGATGAACGAATCTCAAGTCAACGGAAAAATCTATACTGTATATTTAATTCTTGAAAACAAACAAAATTTACCGCGAAAATGTGCAAAATTCTTATTTTTAAAATCGAGATTTCATTCTCATGCAAAAATCCCGAGGGAACTTTGAAGACAAATTCGAAACTGAAGTACAGCATTCGTTAATGCCTACTCTGCTCCCAGTTACCAGTTAACATCCTACAAATAATTGTTGACTCAAAATTATTGGTCGTCATTTTCTTTTCGTATTTTTTTTAGATCAAAAGTCTTTTATTTTAACATAGAAATTAATTTGCCTGAAACGAATTGATTGATTTCTCACAGATTACCAAGGGAAATGATATTGTGTTGTTTTATCTGAGAGAATTATGAAAAGGCAAATTGCATCACAGTATTTCCAACAATTTTCTAAACCTACGATTGTTTCATGTAGTTGTATGATATTTTAGAACAATCGTAGGGCTATTGAGATTCTCACAGTATACAAGTGCGCTATGTTCACCACAATACTGTACTCTAAATCTGAAATTTCTCATGTACCGAGCACTGTACATTCACAATAGCTTCTCAAGCATTTTTTTTTTCATCACACCGACGGAAACCCGTAAAAAAAAGCCCGCCCATAGACCCAGCCAGCAATTCGATCACATCTGAGCCAGCAGGGACACTTAACAAGAGGATGAAACGAATGGAAAGAATCAAGGGCGAGGAGGTCAATGAACTTCACTAAAACAGGTCCTTCAATCATGTCGTCTACTCCAATATTTTGATCATCCCGTCTGAGGTTCATAAAATACATAACTCACATTAATACTGTGCATGCGTTTAGCTGGAGAGTCCGATGATTCTTATCTCCATTTTTTTTTTTTTTTACGACAGGACCCTTTCTCGCGAGTAATTCTCACGAGAACCTCTGATGCATCTTTTAATGAACGTCTGAAGTTTTCCCTGTTACACAGATGTCACTTCAATTGCGTAAGGTTTCGTCTAGTAATCATTTCATCAACGCTCAGTCAGCTAAGGTAACATCAGGCCATTTGGGTTCCGTCGGTATTTTTGTAGAAAAAAGGACGCGAAACCTTGGCCTTCAAATTGTGAATACAGTCATGAAAGAAATGGAATGAAAAAAGGAAAGGAGCTTTGAACTGACACCATATTCCAGCTCGGACAGAGGATTTGAATGACGATATAACCATACTTCAACTTCGGTCAAAATGGTCCTGATAAAAGTGCGATTTCCCTCCGCCTCGTTTAACCTTATTCTCTTGTGTGGTTGAAGAAGGAACTTCTATTAGACCAAGAGCTCTAGAAATTCAAAAAACTGATATCCTCGCCGTTTCATTCATAAGAATCATAACCCTAATCTTGAAGAGTGAAAAGCTGAATTTATTTCAAGTTCTTTTAGAGCTTTAATAATTCATCCTTTTTTATTGCCTCATTTACAACCAGACTGAAAATTAAAGCTGAATTGTTAAACGGATACTTTGCTGAGAAAACCAGCTTGAGTGACAAGATCAGAACCATTACTTTCCTTTTTCTCGCAATATTCCACTGGGTCAGAGTTTTTTCGCGAAGTTAATTGAGAATTATACAACGAAACATGAAATTTTTGAAAAATTGACACGGACGACCGTCAAACAAACTTGAAAATTGTATTCCCGATCAAAACACAAATAATGATTTCTAGTCTTTTTACAATTCAACTCGAAATTTCGCTTGAGCACTTAATTTATAAGATATGTGTAATCGAAGCAACGCCGTTTATCAATCAAATGAAAAAATTATTACATTGATAATCTGAAAATTTGGAAATACAAATTCAGGGGATATTGATGTACTCTCCCACTCTCTCTCTCAAGCTTGGAACGAGGTGATCTCTTCAATCCCAGGAACACAATTCAAGCATGTTAATCAACGTTCACGCACAGGAAAATGCGAAAAAAAACGAAAATAAAATTTAACTCACATAGGAGAGGATGAGCTTCGCCCGCGTCAGCATACGACGGTAATACGTTGTCGTTAGCGGACAACGACACCAGCAGCGCAAATGGCACCAGCCACATGAACAACGTAAAATACGTCAAAATCTCAGACAATGCGAAATATTTGCTTGAAAAGTAGCTAAACGCTACATAATGGTTCCACCCCAACAACACTGGAACGGAGATAAAATCGATTTTATCAATAAATTCATACGAAATGAAGGACGGATTAGACGTCAAATACAGAGTTTTACTCTGAGCAGAAAAGTCCGAGGCAGACGCGTAATTTCCATAATCTCGACACAAAAAATATTTTTGTCGTGATTCGAAAAAAAAGAGATTGAAAGTATGTTTTCTTCCAACACATGAGAGTATTCACTCAATTATAAGACGACATCAATAATTAAAACATTTTAATTTTGGTGAAAAAAAAAATTTGTTCTACAAAATTGAGCGCATGTTGTCCGCGAATGTAAGATTCACTTTCTTTGCACTCAAATTCTCCAGTTTAGTGGAGTTCACCTCTTACGATTTTCCCCTTGAACTGAAAATGTCATCATGTTCATAAGATCGCGTCGTTCACAAGCATTATGCATGTCCCCAACAAATCTAAGACATCCCCTGAATTTTCAAAGCGATTTTTCTGTAAAAAAAAAAAAAACAGAACAAGTGACTTGAAAGTTGTACCCAATTAAATGAGCTAGAATATTGATCGCATTGATTTTCGTTCGCATCACGCAGTTTAAACCGAAAAATACAGTTCAGTTGAGTTTAGTACTGTATTTACTTTTTGACCAGCTGTAAATTCAATCCAAAACGTCGAGTGATAATTCGTTTAAAATAAATGGAACTGGTTTGATCAAATTAATCCAAGTATGCATCATCAAGTTTCGATTGATAGTCGGATATAACATTCCGAAATCACGGTACCTTCAAAAACTGGACAATGTTCAACACATCGCTTGAACCGCATTATATATATTTTTTCGACTACCAGAGGTTTTCCAACTTCTTGGGGACATCGTGAAACTTTCGAGACATGCCACAATTTGCTTGCCACCTCTCCAAGACCAAGTAACATTTGCGCATTCTACCTCGATCAAGGACGTAAAAGATTCAAACCAAAATTGACAACCGAACCACAGTTTTGCAATTGGATTATATTTGCCATTTAATTTCCTCATTGTACGCTCTCATCATTTCTCCACACATTTCTCACTCGAATTTCCCGCATTTACAATTTATTCAAAAACCTGACCGTACACAGAAAAGAAAAAAAAAATTCTAGCTTCACCACCTGACAAGTACATTCATGCGTACCACCGGTTGAAAAGCCCTGCGTCATAGAAAGTAACCCGAGATTAAAAAGAAGGAAGTTCTCACCAAGCGCTCCGATGAACGGCAACGAAGTGACGTTGACGAGCGGGAACGTTCGCATGATGAGCAAGTGACACACTTGGGCCGCGAATCCGGCCGCGACCATCGATCCCGGAAAGTCCTCGAACACAAACAGCATCACATACGACACGATCGTCATCTGCAAAAAAATTACAAAATGTATAAAATAATAGGAAAAAACCCACTAAATTTAACAAAAATCGAAGTCGAGTCACGGGGAATGATTGCACAATTTTCGCCACCCCCCTATAGAAAATGGCGCAATCGAGAACGCGGTTGGTATCGAATTCCCACAGCACTAGCTGAGAATTACAACAAACAAACTCCGGGTTCACGTCTGCGGGATATTGATGTAAGATCATGTTCAACGAGGGGGGGAAAAAAGGTATTTGTTGCAGCATAGCCGTAGAGCTTGTTCACTTCGTTTCGTCGAACCACTTTCTCGTCGTTTGTCAAACTTCTTCATTTGAACCAATGAGTAATGCTTCGACAAATTAAGCAACAACAAAAAATCATGATCAGATCTTGAAACCTCAAAAATCTTGCTTGAACCTTAGAATTTTCTTTGGACCTCCAGTGGAAATAAGAGAATGTGTTCGTGGGTTCGTCAATTTTTTGTTTCCCCTTCTCGGAGACTCGATCGACGGATGGAGTCGAGAGCAATTTTTTTCTATAGTTGATTCTCGATACAATGAATCTCGTTGCAAAGACTCTATTCAGAAGGAATTCATTTTCGAGTCCCGCCTATGCGGGCACAAAAATATTTCAGGCTCATTACAAAATGATTTCCTATTCATTGAATTTTCAGGTTCCAATAGCTTCATTGTAACGAGATTTCATTGCACTTGATATATTCCTGACTAACCTTAAAAAATGTGCTAGAGGCTGAAATGAGTTACACGCTTTTCTGGTAGGTTCCATAAATTCGAACGCCACCCACGTTCAACCAAGCATTACAAATACAGGAAATATAAGCGGAACAGTTTCCGGCAACTGTCTCACATATCACAACCATGTTCACATGGAACACCTCAGCAAATTCAAGAAGAACGAGCTAAATTTGGATGTCGAACTAAAACGTCCATCGACAAGTCATCCGTGCAATCGAAAAAAAAACCGTTTGCGAGATAACAAAGGATTGAAGTGTTATTCATTCCTCACTTGTTTGTGCGAATCGGACTCATAAATTAGGGAATAAAAATAACATTATTTTAAATTAAGGTGTACAAGACTTTCGAAACATTCTTCGTAGACTCAGGACGATCCCAGGAAGTATACATTTGAATAAATTCGAAACACGGATGCTTCAAATATTCGAATACCTAAGGTAATTCTGAAACAGGAAAAAAGAAAATCCTCGCGGCCTTCGGGATCAACAGCTGACTCACGTTGAAAAATGTATCATTTCAAAGAACATTGTGTAATATTAACAATAAAAAATATGTATATATATATTCCAACGTATGATGACATTCTCGCTTCGATGAAAATTCCCCTAGAAACCTGATCTCGGAATCTCGGCATTGAACACGGAAGGTATAAAATCACGCGGCCAGGATCTATGCAAATATCGGGAGAGGCAGGAACCATCTTCATTCATTTCCTGTTACGATTCGAACATCAGAGAAACTGAACACGTCTTCCCAGAAAACACGCTTCAAATCTTGCATTGCATAATGCAACCGCATACTTCATTGAAAAAAAAAAAAAACAGTAAGTACAAAAAGCTCCTTTGATCACCAAAAATAGCACACGAAAAAGCAATGTTTTTTTCTTTTCCCGGAAAAAAGTCCGATCGCTCACAAGTCACAACTCCATCCATCGATCGGGTCTCCGAGAAGGGAAACGCAAAATAAAAAACCGATGAACCAAAATGAACCAAGCTCCGATATTTTCGGAGCTTCAAATGAAATTCTGCGGTTTATGGAAGCATTTGGAGGTGTTACAATTGTAAGACAATTTTCGAGCAGAACTTCCTTAAACACCAGAAACAAAAATCAGGAAGGAACTTTCCGTACCTTAGAACTAAAAATTGACAGTAAAGATACGTTGACTCGCATTCGATGATGATTGAATTATTTCCTTCTTCAGAAAATTTGTTTGGTAAGAACCCGAGAATTTCGAAAAGTCATCGAATGTAAGACGCCAAATAACATGCACTAGGATTCTCTAAGCTAGTTTAAAACTCAAAATTTCACTTATTAAATGACATAATTTTGAATTGGGGACAAGACTTTGGAAACATTCCTCGTCGATCCAGGGCAATCCCAGGAAGTACACATCGGAAGAAAGAAATTCAAATACGGCAATATATGCGAATTTTTCAAGAGCAGCCTAGACCCCAGACGCCAAAAATTAGAAAAAATTCAATGAATTATCAATGAAAATAATCATTCGAAACATGAATTCCTAAAGCTAAATATATTCGAATACCTAAGGTAATTCTCGAGAAGAAAAACAATCTTTGACGCCTTCGTAAGGAACAGTTGACTCAAGATGAAAAAAGTGTAATTTAAAAGAATTTGAAACAAAAAAATTCAATTTTTAGCTTCAAGTTAATTGAAGTTATTTTTAGTCTATTCAATGAAATTTGAATGTGAAAGTATAAATGGAAAAATTAAACTTGAGCTCCAGTAATGACGGTATTCACCCAATGTTCAGAAGAAAATAAGTATGAAAATGAGTTTCTTACCCATATCAGGAATCTAATTGTCTTCCCCGTGGCCACAGAGAACTCCTCCACAAGTTCTGCCAAATAGTACAGACCAGCAGCTGCCAAAAGAATAAAGAAAAATTATACTGTAAAATACTAATCTGAATCAAAATAAAAATGACTTACCAAGCGCAAGAGTGACCACACAGAGCTGCACTGCAAAAGACAGCCAAGTCAACAAATAAAGGAACCACATGTCATCACAATTTCCTCCTCCCCCGCATGATCTGAAAATTTAAAAAATAGAAAAGAATGAAGAAAACTCGAAAAGTCAAGGAAGCAATAAAAAGTTGAAACAAAGCAGTCAAATTAAAAACTCTCGCAACGCAGGATGTCGACAAAATCCTGAATTCGGTTCTTTATAAGATCGGGTTTCCCAAGTGAAAGCACATCAAATTAAAAAGTAGTTACTTTGAACGTGTGCCTGGTGGCGTCCGATGTAATGACGAGAAGATTATCTTTTCTTTCCCCGCGAGTTATAAATACTCCTAATCATGAGCATACACAAAAAAAAAAAAAAAAAACCGGTAATCACAAGCAGTTTTTTCCTCTTGTGAAGGATCTACAAGAAATATATGTCCCCAGAATTTGCCCCGAAACAATTCACGTCTCGATCCCTTCGCCTCTCGATCGCGCAGAAAAAAAAATTAATTCATTAAAAAATAAAATAATAACGCGACAGCAACGGAAAATCTGAGCCACTAAACGTCTTCAAACTCAGCCGCTCCATTCTATCCTCGTCGCGAGCACCAACGGATTCATCACTTCCCGAAAAACAAAAAGGAATCGAAAACATCCCGACGCAAGTTTTGGCTAGATCGCCGCTGAGTAAAACGCTCGCAGGCAACAGAAGAAATGAAAAATAAACCAGAACGAAATACAAAAATCATGCGTCCGCCACCAGAAACTCAGACTTCAAATCACACGAAATAATTTCGACAGGCATATTTGTTTTCAACAGTGCATCATTCGCAAAATGAGGAATGCATCAATGACACACCCAATAGCAAAGACCCCATTATTCGCTAATTCATAGCCAAGCCAGAGGATCTTGATATTAGATACACTGTCAAAGCAAGGGCTTCTTCTGATTACTTCTCTTACGTTAGCAACTTTAATGGCCAGTTTTCTTTCAAGGGCAAAAACACGAGATTTGAAAACAGTCGAATCAAATTTGAAATGATTTCACGAAGCCAAAATAATTCGGATACCTGCAAAAAATTATTACAAGCTAATCCACATCGAATGAAATCAGGCTCACAAAATTCAAAGAGGATGGTTTACTTTACGAGATGAAGGACTTTAATCGGCATGAGAAATTATCCATTCGCGGAAGATTACAGTATTTATCTCTAGAGATTATTAAATCGGTTCAGCGCATGAGTTTATCTCGGAGGGCATTCACGGTAAAGGTGAAATCTCACGCCAAAGTGCAACAAAACCCATCAGAATTGATTCGACCGGAAGAGTTTACAGAAATTTAAGCCAAGTGGCGAGGCTACGTCTGAAGAAGAAAAGCAATAATATGATCATTTATCAAAATCACAAACGCGAGAAAAAGAGAGAGGCTCAGGGACCGTCGTCGATTATGCACGTGAACACGAAAAAATAAAACCACATAAAACCGAAACGGTGAGTTCCCAAACGGAAGGATCACAGATTTTTCGGCGCAAAAAAAAAAAACACTCTTCAATTGTTTCCTTCCAGCAACTCTCCAATCCCCGCCCTTGCCAAAAAAAAAGAGAAGAACACTCGCTTCCATCTCTTTACACCTCATTTCTTGGTCAAGACTTATTCGGACACGATAAAAAGTCACGTGCACATCTATACTCGAAGCAAAGCTATCACCAACGAGACAATAACTTTCTTTCTTCTTCTTCTTCCAACCAATAAATCGACAAACTTTCAAAAACAAAACAAATGTACACCGGTCTCTTGTCGGTGACCATTTCGCAGTTTCCGACGACGAGCAGTTCTCACAAGGACTCGCTTCGTGAAGCTACAAAAACTTTCTCGGCAAATGGATAATTGTGAGACCAACATCAATTATGGTTCAAAAAGGAGTGCGAGTTTCCATTTGAGGCGCAAGAAATCATCCAGGCTTTCGGTCAAATATCTGAAATACATCTTTCCTATACTGTACATTGAACGAAGAGGGAGAAAACGGGACATTTCCCGAGTGTGTCGAGGTGAGAACGCAATCTCGAAGGAGAGGCAAAATGGGCACGTTTTGAGAGCGGATAAAAATTTGGAAACGGATAAAGTTTTGGTTATACGGTTTCATATCGACAAACAAACAAACAAACAAACAAAAAAACACTTAAGGAGGATCTGAACGGGAGCGATTAAAAAAAGACCCACTCCCCGAATTTCTTTCCTCTCTCTCTCTCATTTCCTCTTCTTCCTCCTCCTCTCAAATCTTCACCGTCGAAATTCGGTTACGGAGGCCGATACAATTTTAAAACAGGGTTCTCGCTCAAGAGCATTAAATTCATTTTTTCTTTCTTTCTTTTCCTTTTTTCCCTCTCGCTCTCGGAAAATCGGTGGCACGACGGGGTTACGTGCTTCGCTGCGGCGGCGGCGAGGATCCACAACGCGCGAAAGCGTGTGGTTCCGCAGGCTGGCAGTTGAGGAAGTCCCAGATCAGGATCGTGTCGTCGTGCGAGCTGCTCACGATCTGAAACTCGTCGAACTGCAACCGAAAAACTCGGCCAGTATGTTCCTATAGAGAGAAAACAAAAACACAATGAATTACCCCACATCGAAAAAAATAACATCCAATCCAGAAATGATTAATATGACGAAAACACTTGATTGCCGTACACAGACGTACTCTCTACAACGAAATTCAAGGGAGCAGAAAAAAATCGAAAATTTCGCTGCAGAGAACCCATACAACAGGGAGAAAGAACCCCACGGGACCGAAATAAAGTTTGTTATACAGAGAAAATCGTTGTACAGAGAGTCAGTCAGTCTATAAAATATTACCCCCGAGATTTTTCAGGGGCACAATGAAAATTTCATTGAAATGCGAACACAGTTGAACTTCGATAACTCGAACCTCTGTATGTCGAATACCTCCCTATGTAATGTCGAAACGTTTTCAAGTCCCTGTCCGAATTTCTTCAGAAACAATGAATAAAATCCTCCTTAACTGGAAGGCGTTTCCCCCCTCGAACCTCCATAAGACTAATTTTCGGAAGGCCTTTTCGCTACTACAGTACTTCATATGACACAAGAAAGATGAAAGAAATGAAAATTTAACTTCTTACGTTTTGAAATCAAGTGGAAGACGAATTGGGGAAAATGAACCCTTGCCTTCAACTTCAGCATCCAGTCAGCTCATTTAAGAAGCAATATTATGGCCCAGAATATCCCCAATTACAATGTCTCGCAATTCTTCATATTTAATAATAGAAAAAAACAACTGTTTCCTTGACTCGAATTTTTTCGTTGGTTCCTCGAAGTTTGACTCGGAGGGGTTCGACTGTATCATCCTTTCAAGAAACCTAACACTTTCGACCGAAGTTCGGCTTTCCCCAGAAAAAGAAAAATGGTGTCACATAATCTTTACTCTTCGCCTTCAGTCAATGACTCCTGAATTCAAGTGCCAAAGGCTGACCATATATTGATTTCAAAATTTCAATTCCAAAAGAACTGAAGAAAAGAAGCGCTGGATCATTTTGCAAACAGGCGGATTTCCTGATATAGACGCATAATTACGCAAATTTCATAAATATTGCGAGCGCATGGAAAAGTATTGTCGGAATAATTTCCTGTGCTCGCTTCTCTCAATTTCCGCACAATAAATTTTGACACGCAAGGTATCACGCATTCGCACAGCAGTTTCACAATACCTCAAAAATTGATCCGAACTACATCATTTTTAAGAGTTTAAAACCCTAAAATCTTACAGGATATCGGAAGAAATCATGTCACTAAAGGTTCCGGAAGTTTTATTTTCTTTCACACGCGCTTAAGGTCCTTTCTTCAATATGGTACGTAATGGTATATGGTTAAAATGAAACTTGCCGAAAATCTCAAAGAATAATCAAAGATAGGAGGGGGAAAAAATCGTGAAAACTGGAAGACGCTTCCCACACACCCATCCCCAATGAAGGTCACTGAAAAGATGCCGCACTTTTCGAATTCTACAAATGCTGTACTACAAAATACTATACCCGAAATTTTCGCCAGGCGACCTTAACCTACGTTCATTCTCTAACTCAAGAGTTTTTCCCACCTCTTCTACATTCGTTCTCAACTTTTTAATTCACACGTCATTTTCTACTCGGACACTTCAAAAACTTCAACCTCTCGTCGACTCAATTAATTTCCACTAATTTTGCACGCGATGGACGCTGTAGAGTACGATCGGCCAGGAACCTCGGGGAACCAAGAATTCAACAACCTTCACCAGTACCAGTATGTTTTTTAGAATATCATTCATCAAAAATCTATCTATCTAAGTTGCTTCCCGCGTCCTGCGTACGCACCAACTTTCAGCAGGTTTTGGCCCCAAAAAAAAAAAAACTTATGGAGCAGGGAACCTGTCCTGGAGGTACCCAGTTCAATCCCACCTATGGGCAGATTTTTTTTTGAAATCGTTTCCTTTTTTTATTCATAACTTGCTCAATTTTCAAGTTATTTCAGCCAAAAAAAATTGTAAATTTGTAAAAATGCATTGTGCATCCAACAAAATTTTAACAATTTTAATTGCTGCAAAACATAAAATGTTATGAGGAGTTGAACTCGAAAGTCGGACTTTTTTCGTTTCCTATGGTTTTGACTTTAGAAATTTGTCAAACATTCAATTTCAACTCAATTTCCAAATTTTTTAAAGTTTTCAGAGCGCACAGATGTTTTCTAAATTTCAGTTTTTCAAATTTTTTAAAAGCTTCAAAAATGAGTGAGATACAATGAAAAAGACAAAAACATTTTATTGAAATTATATGAAAATCTACAAAAAACTTTTTGTTTTTCTACATGTAATAAATTCAATTTTGAATAAATCTGAACAAACAAAGCAGGTAAATTTGTAAACATCTCCATGCTCAATATCCTGCAAGAAATTTGTAGATTGCATGAAAAGAAAAAGAGTTACAGGGAGTTGAATGAAAAAAATCGGAAATGTTGTTAACAATTTTTCAGTTTAAAAATTTGTGAAACTGTGAATTATTCACAGAAAATTAATTTCTTTGCAGCAAATGGAAAAGTAATGCAGTTTTCTAAATTTACTTTTTTAATGCTGCAAAATTTCAAAATTTGACCAAGTTACAAACAAAAACACAAACATTTTTTTGATATTGTACAAAATTCAACAAAAAATGTTTTGATTTTTCACATGTACTAAATTCATTTTTCAATATATCTGGATGATCAAAACTTTGAAATTTGTAAAATTTTACTGCGCATTCAACAATAATTTTAAAAGTTAAATTGCTCCAAAAAAATGTTATGAGGAGTTATACTTAAAACTTTGAAAATAATTTGTTTCCCAACCTTCTAAATTTAAAAATTAACCACATGATTTCTGTGAAGCCAAACTCAAATTTTTTTAAAGGGTGGATGCGCAATGAAATTCTACACATTTCACTGAATCCCACTTTTAAAAATTTGAAAAATTGATTGAGACTATAAACAAAATTGTAGACATTTTTAAAAAAATTGAGTGAAAAACATGGAAAATTCCTGTTTAAATGTTAATTTTTAACTCATCAAATTTTCTAA